GGGTGGCAAAGGTGAGGATGTCAATGGCCATGGATCTTCCTGTCCCACCAGGACCAGCTCTGGAGACAGCCAGCAATGGGTAGACTGGCCCATCTCTGCCTTTCCGGTGACACCTTTGTAAGGATCCCTGGTGTGAGCCCAGAGCTGCAGTGTCACCCCGAGTGTCACACTCTGCTGGGGTGCCAGGCCCAGCTGGGCCCTGTGTGTAGGGTGGGTGCTGTTGGTAGAACAGAAATATAATAAATCTATTGTTTATTAACGTTAATTATAATCTACAAAAATACATATAATAAAGAAGAAAATCTCATGGCTCTTGGAGGAAGGAGAGAACAGGTCTAAACCTCAGTGCACCCAGGTGAGCCTCCACCCAACTCCCATGGCTGCTGCTGTGCCCTGGGTGCTGCCCAGAGGGCATGAGGGACATCCCCAAAGCAGCATGAAAAGGCTGAAGCCAGGGCTGAGCCCCTGGGATGCTCCTGGTTGCCACAGCAACATGCTGCCTCCTCCCTGATGCTGGGGTGTCGCCATGGGGATGCCCTGGCCCACACCCCTGCCCTGGGGTGCACGGTCAGTGTGGGCAGCAGGCAGCCCATGGCACGTCCCAGTGTCACCAGGGACGTGCCAGCAGCAAAGGTTGGGCCAGGGACACTGGGGGCACCAACATGTGCAGGGACAGCAGCACTGGGCACACCCTGCGCTCATCACTGCAGCCACAGCTCACCCCAGCTCCACCTTCAGCCACTCACCTGACACGTCCTGACAGACATTTGTTCACTGCAAGCAGCCAAATGTTTTCTCAGTTTAAAGCAGTAACTAAATTACATTTCACCCTGGAAAATTATCTGTAATGCAATTTGGCTTCATTTATGGTGACAACCAGCTGTGCTACAGTGAGAACAGCATCTTGGGTGTTGGTGTGCCATACTTGTGCTTCCTCAGGAAGTTCATAGGAATAGCTGATGGAAACAGAGGGCACTAGGGAGGAGTCGTCTCCTCTACCCTCCCAAGGCAAACCTGCCACCAGCTCCTCTGCTTGACATGGGGTGCTGCCAGCTGATGTGTGCCCCGCAGAGCAGCTCCCCTTCATTAACAAATTAGAAGTTAAATCTCTTTTCTGGCTGGGGCAGAGGTGGTACAGCCAGGGCTGCTGCACATTGTGGCCACTGCTGCCTCATCCCAGGATTTATTACTCCTGTTCTTGCAGTGATCACCTGGTGGTGCCAGGTCACTCCACTCCCATGGAATGGAGCACCTGAGGGGCACGGGGAACCTTTCACAGAAACCAAGGAGCTGCTTCTGGCTGGGCCCTCCTGCCCTGAGGACCTGGAGGCCACTGGAGCTGCCTCTGAGTTCCTGGGCTCAGAGAGGAAGGTTGTTCCCCCCGTGCACCTGCACAGGCCCCATCTGCCAAACACCACCTGCTCCAAAACTTGGCTGATGGAGACCCACCTCCAATCCAAACCCTTAGGTGAGATTTCCAACCTCCCAAAACAGTTGGGAGTATCAATCCCTACCCAGTAGGAAAGAAAGCATCAGGCTCCACACCGGCCCAGAACGCCCTTCCTGTGCCTGGCCCTGCATTTTGGGACTGCAGAGGCAGATACTGATACTCAACTGCTTATCACTCACATTTGTGATTCTGCAGAGATCACTGAGGGACCTGCCTTAACCTTCTATCCTGGTTTAGGGCAAATTTGGGAGAGAACCTCTGAAGGGTTCTCTCTGAACCCATCACACCTTCCCTGAAGCATTGTGGTGAGGAGCTTGGGTGGGTGGCACCAGCTGAAGTTACTGAAGATGAAGCCAACAGGAAAACAAATGTTCATATATCCCCCCTTGAGGTTTATGAACAGTCACTTCAGTGTTTTTGTTCTGGTCTTCAGGTTGGGCAGCTTGGGCAAAGCACCAGAGCTGCTGCAGAGATGAAATCCCAGGGGCAGCACAGGGCCCCTGCACTGCAGCAGCAAACACCAACACACACAAATCCTGCAAGCCCTGACCCACACTGGGAACTCATCCCCCCCTTAAGGAGCTCAGAGATGGCCCATGGGGATCTGGCTGGATGGCACCACCATCTCTCTAACCCACCTGGTTCCCCAGGGCTCGCTGGGTGCATCAGCCTGGTGGGACACAGCCCCAGTGCTGCACAGCTCCTCTCCAAACCCAAAGCTGAGGAGTTCTCTCCCCTCTCTGCCCAGGCAGCAGAACCCTCACAGGACTCTGCACCTGCAGCTCTCCCTGTCTGGGTGGGTGTCCACACTAAGATGGGAAGCAGCACATGGAGCGACTGGAGAACACTGGCAGGAGCATCAGGCTCCCTTCAAAAGCCACTTTAATGTTTTCACTCCCCAGACTACTGAGATGCAACATGATTTTCTTACCAATGAGCTTCACTGTTCCCAGAGCTACTGGGGTGCAGAGGGTGTGCAATTCTGCACACTCTCTATCTCCTGTTGTCCTGGGAAACATCTCCATTGGAGAATTTCAACCAAGGTTTTGGAAAATATTAAAAATTGACCGGTGCAAAGTTACTAGATAAGAATCTTTAAAATTTATTGGACTAATTGTGTTACATTCAATATTTGATGTGTTTCTTCTGGACAAAGAATTGGCATAAATACAAACAAGCCTTTGTGTGCCTTCCCTAAACAAATAAGAGATAAAGTACTAGAGACAACAGAACATAGTTCACATCTTCATATTTACATTTTACCTTTACTTTACAACTTAGCGCCAGGAATATTTACAGAAAAATACAGTAAGAACAGAACGTTCATGTCTTGGCAACATATAGGAATTCATACAAATTGTCTATGATTGAAGCACATGATATCTGGCATTCTCACTTCTAATTGCTCCTGCTAAATCCATGGGGAAAAGGGCTGTGTTTGCCTTCAAAGGTATCACTCAATTACACAATCAGGAAAATGCATCAAATTTGTCTGTGAGGCTGAAATTTAGTTTTCTCCTCCTCCTGGGCATGCAGAACCTTGTGAAAAGAAACACTGTGACCTAGAGAGCACCCAGCAGGTACGATGGCCTGGGCTGCTCCTCCCTCCAGCCCTGCACACTGCTACCCACAGATGCACCAATTCCACAGGCACTGTCCTCCCCCCTCTCCTCCTTGCTGTAAGGTTCTAATGCCTTCCTACAAGTACCTTTAAAAGAATGGCTTTTCTTTAAAAGTCTCTATTAAGGTACTAAAAAGTAAATTCAACACTGTGTTTAACAATGTGACAGTGGTCACCTCCTGCTCTGTTTAAACAGAATTATGAACTCAAACTGAAAGGCTGGATGAAAGCGTCCCAGGTTAATTACTGTGGAACACTTGCAGGTGGAGGGGTGGGGGGTGGGGGCAGCCCTCATCCCCTCTGATGGACAGGGATGCTGACCCAAGCCACCCAAGCATCAAGTCAGGAATTCTATGCAGCAGTTTGTGATATAAAAAAAAAAAAAATCTAGATTCTTGGATAACTCTTGCAAGTCATCATGGAAATAAACCTCATTTGCTCTGACCCTTCATGGAAAAAGCTCTCAAGACAGTACCCTGGACTAGCTAAAGCCATTGGAATTCAGTCAGACTTTGAGAGGGGATGGATATAATTCTCAAACTGGTGGGGTGCATTTTGTTATGAGGCCTGAGACCTCCACACATCCTGGGGAAGGAGTGACAGTCCCTGCAGGCACCCCTGCACTGGCACAGTCTGCCCAGGGTGCCCACTGCTGTGACCAGCACTCAAACCATGAGGGCTGGCAGCACAATTTTGCATCACATTTTTATACTGAACTGTGATTTTCCCAAAGGCTCAACTTTCCAGAGAGCCAATCCCACCACGTACAGCCATGTCACAGCACCTGTAACCTGCTCACCAGCTGGTTCTACAACTCAACTGATACATGATACATCCATCTCCTGGCACTGGGAGCAGCCACAATGTGCCCAAGTTCAATTCTTTCCAGACTCCTGCCAAGTCATGAGGCTCTCACAGCTGTTACTGCTCCCATGGGTGTCTTTAGGTGAACATGGAAACAGACCCAAGACAACCCTTCAGTCAAGCACAGGTCTTTTTAAAGAAAGCAAATCTTCAGGCAGTCTACTTGACTATCCCTGTCAGAAACCACTCAGGGTTTACCCCAAGGCCCATCTGCATTTGTGACTGCTCCTGACTGCCTGGCAGCTGTGCTGCATCAGCCATGGTAGGTGGGGCTGCTCTTACACTATCAGTGTGCAGACACAGGGGTTGCTCAGGATGTTTATTGGTTACACATGCATTGCTCATGCCTTTTAAACCAGTGGGCTTAAGTGTGTTTGGCCATTAATTAGCTCTCACAGGTACAAACACAGTGAGGGTAAATTTAGTGTTCGTGCATTAAATTGCTCCTGGCAAGAGTTTGGCAGAGGAATGAGGCTGTCCAAGTTCTCTGCACAGCTTGGCCAACGTGCCCAAACACTGCCCTGGAGCTCCTTCTGCCACGTGCCACCTGGGCAGCACACAGGAATGGGCCAGCCAGCACACATCCTGATACAGGGCTTTTCTTTGGGTGATTTAATTTTTTCACTTTTTATTCATCTGGATCAAATTCCAGAGCTCCTGAACTGAGAAGCCAGTGCACTTGTTCCCTGCAACAAGCACACATCACCTTGGTTGACCACCTCAGTCCTTTCACATGTATTTTTAGGGGCCTGTTTCCATGAACTCTGAAAAACCACAAGGGAAGCCAGGAGCGAGGTCTGTCCTTGGCAGATAAGCTGTAATGAAACAATTAAGACTGCTTCAGGTCAGAACTGTTGCAAAAAGTAGATCTGAAACATCAAAATCCAATGCCTGACAAGTATTACTGCAATGCATAGCACTGTTATTAAAACCACTTTGAAAAGAATGTGAAGAGCTCCCCAAATTCCTGCTCACTCATCCTCTTCCATTGCCTGGTGCTGGAAGCACGAGGATCCTGCTGCTGCTGCCATGCTGCAGATCCCAGGAGTTTGGGAGCTGCACACTCTCTGTCTCTGCTGCAGCAGCTGGGATGGGCCGGGACCCAGAGGGGCTCCCAGGGCTGCCTGCGCCCCCCACACCTCTGAGACCCCAACCCTGGCTGGAAACTTCTTTTCCCAGCACATTCTTTGGGTCCTGAACACACCAAAGCCACAGGCTGAAAATGAAAACTCCTGATCTAGGTGGAAGGGAAGCACTGCTGCCAAACGTGAGAACATACTGGAGATTCAAAACAATGTGAATTATAACTCCAAAGGGGCTTTCATGGCATTTGAATTAATAGGGAAAAGATGAATTTGTGAATTTTCTTTTTGAGTTGTTTAGTCTGTTTAACAGGAGCTTCTGAAAAGTGTTGTAGAAGCTGCAAAAACTGCTCATGCTATAAATAACAGGGAGGAGGCAGTCCCAAAATCTCAGATTTCAATCCAATGGAAGGAAGGCAAGTGATGTTTATGCTTTTTATGGAAATGGTGAGGAGGTGACACAGACACTTGAAAATAAATTAAGTAGTTGCATTATAAAAAGAATTAAAAAATAAAAATCAAGCTACTGAAATAAAATGTGACATTTTGCAACAGATCTGAAAGTCATAACCTCGCTTTTCTAGAATCAAAAGCTCTATCCAATAATAACTCTTTCTGGAAAGTCAGTTAATTCAGGTGATGGTGGTTGTCTCGTATGCAGATGGACTCACTTGGAGCCCTGGTGGGAGTGGCCACATACAGCATCTGGGCTTTTGGCTTTCAGGGCCTGCTTCTTCCAAGCCATCTTCCTCCTCTGGCTTCTGGTACACAGATGGGTTACACTCAGTGAAGGATTTTCTGTGGAGCACTGAAGGGGGACTCAAAATGTCTTTGAAGTTCTTATAGGGGAAGTTAATGCTCTGGAACAGACTCCTCCTCCAAGGAAAGATCCTGCTCTCTTGCCCTTGGACACGTGGGTGTAGCAAGGCATCTAAGGCAGGTTGGTTTGTATTCTTATTTCCATCCTCATATGCAGAGATGGCTTTACTTTGATTGTTTTCCCCTCAGAGCAAGACACCTACAGTTCCTAATTAGTCGGGAAAGGATGACTGGGTGAAGAGATTATTTTGCTAGCATCCAGGAAGACTAGAATTCAGTAATCTTCTGAGGGTAGGTGAATCAATTCAATATCCCAACTGCAATGTTTCAGATTCATTTCTCATTCCTCCCACGTGGTATCTGCTGACTTGTGCTAGAACATGATTTCCTGAATTCCGGAGGGCTGAGAAAATTTGTTGTTGTTATTTAACTGTTTTCATTCATGTAGCCACCAACCTCTGATCCAATTGTCCTGGAAGATAATGACCTAGGGGTTGCAGTTCTTGAGCCCAACCTCCTGGAAAAGTGAGGTATAAAACTCTGGCTCCAGCTGCTTGTTCCGGTATTTATTGACAATATCTGCGATTTTCTGTTTTCGGCGGACGTGGGGGGGGTTGTATGAGTCACTTTCCAGCCTCTTTCTCCGACAAATATTTATTACTGTCTGTCTCACTAGAAAACCTGAAAAAGACACAGCATTTGAATCAAGTTTAAATTCAGTCCTGCACGACTCTTCTGGCCTCCCAGGCAAAGACAATTCTGGGTTCTGTCCCATCTGAACCCAGGGAAGATGTTCAGCACCACCAAGAACTTAACTCCATGAACAGCTGATAGCAGACAGCCATGGTCCCCAGGCTTGACTCACTCAGTGGTACCCTAAACTAACCAGAGGAGAAGGAGGAGTATCCTCAGCTTTGCCAAGCCAAGCAGCTGCCTGGAAGAAGCACCCTCAGGACAAGAGCACAAACCCAGGGCAGCCAATACAGGAGTCACAGTACCACAAACCCAGCTGTGCTGCACATCTGGACCTTAGGTGGGCCCTGAGGTCATACCAGGTAATTCCAGGGGAGCCCTGAGAATGAAAAAAGTACCTGTCAGCACCTTTTTCCAGTAGGAACTGCAGAGCCTTCCCCTTGGAAAGGAGATGAGGAAAGACCTGATGGGTTGTGGCTGCAAACAAATTTCTCTTCCCCTCACTGCCCTGTCACTTTTGTCACCCCTCTGTAACTCACACTGCTGGATGCAGATGGAGGAGGAGGCAGGGAATCAAAGTAGTAGCACTCAAAAGCTGGCAGCTAGCTTTATCTTACTTTATTCTGAAAGGAAATTTCTATGCTTCTAAGGAAGCAAGCATCCCTTACACCCCTTTGCTGCTCTTAAGCTCCTTCTCAAAGACAGAAACATGTAGAGAATCTCACTGCACACAAACTACACCTGCTGAACTTCGAGATGAGAAAAATTTCACTGTATTAACAGTCCTGATGCAGCAGAAAAACAAGCCCAACTCTAGGAAAACATACCTGATAGTTTTTCAGTAAAAGCCACTGTCATCAGCTGAATTCATAAAAGTTATTTAAGGGCCCAGGTCTGGCTTCAATTTGCCAATCACTGAATTAAGCATACAAGCCCCAGAATCTGAAAGTCACCTCCAACAGCAGGTATGTACAGGTATCCTAATGTTCATGACTTCATTTTACTCTGTGCTGTGTACTGCTCTCGCTGGGTGGGACTTCCAGGTACTGAAGCTAAATAGCACCAATACCAGGACAGGTCCATGAATCCATCCAGGAACAGAGGAAAAGGCAGAGGGTACACATGGAACCTGTTAACACACACCTGCATGGTATTTTTATTGAACACAAGAAAATCCTCAGTTGCTGTGGTTTTAATCCCTGTCTGGCTTCTAAACCAGAAGGAACACACAGCATGCCAGCAAAGTAACAAATTCCACAGCACCCTCTGGTGCACCTTGGATCTCTGTGCTGAACACCAGGGTCACATTTTGGATCTCTCCTATTTAAACAGGCCCTGTTCCTACTTCCAACACTCCTTCCTGCTATTCTGGCAGCCAAGTGCTGCCCACCTGCTCCCTCTGCTGTTCCTGCTCCCACAGCTGCTGCAAAAAGCAAGGCTTTCATTGGTTCAGCAATGCCTAACACTTTTTCCAAAGAAAGATTCCAGACCATGTACTTTGCAGATATATCATTATTATTAAAAAAGCCAAAAACATGAACATCCCTAAAACTCTTTAGCTTACCAAGAGCTCTCCTACTGACTATCATTCCATCCACCAGTGGGATAACCATGTTGAATTTCCCAGTTGCTCCTTGTAGTTTTATCCTGAATAAGCCAGTGTTTAGAGGATGGATGAAGATCACAGGAACTTCCTTCTCAGGAATGGTAGATCTTAAGGAAAAACACAATTGTTGAATCAGTTTTAAAGCACTATTTCAATTAATGACCCCTTTAAGTGTTAAAAGAAAGTTTTAAAATGCCTCATGGCTAAGGCAGCAGGATCCTGGGGCATGTTGTGAACCCTCAGAAGGGCTCTGTCAGTTGTGCCATGCCTATGATGTCTGTCCCCACAGGACTGGAGAGCCCTGCAGCCAGGCTACAGTGTGTATGCAGCATTAACCACTCATATGGGAGCCAGTCAGGAGGGAGGCCCACCACAGACTCAGATAATACTGCACGTTTTCTGTTCTTTAATTTATATTTTATCTGCAGTGATATGAAGAAGTCTTTCACTTTTTCAACCAAAAACCAGTCCACTGAGAAACCAATAAAAATAAGGAAAATAAGAGTGGCCTTACCTCAGGGAAGTGCTACTATTGGCTGTGGTTTCCACACCAGTGCTAGTCTCAGATAGCAGATCAGGGAGGGGGAAGTTTTCTGTAAGAAGAGGATGCACCAAATAAAGTTTATATAACACAGTTTTGCATTTTTTTTCTTTTTGTTTACAAGGTAAAATTATTTATCATCAGTCAAAACCATGCAGTCCTCAAGCATTTATAGCAGTAGTGTTCTTGCACAGCATCTTTGGCTTCCAGTTTCAGCATTCATGGAGGGTACACACACCTCAGCCATCTGCACTCAACAGATGAAGTCCCAAACCTCAAATTCTCTCAATCCAAAGGTCTAAAATCTCTAGGGGAACCATGAAAGCAGGAAGGGGATGAACTACTTCAACCACAAAAAGATCTTTCCAATTATTGTTCACTACATCTTCACCCATTCACAAGTGATCAGCCTCCAGAATACTGCAAGGAGCTTTGAACAATGCCAACCACTCACACCTACGGTTTCCTTGAGCCCTGATCCCACAAACACGATCTCCTTCCTCAAATCCAAGCTCTCTGGATCTCTACCATAATCTACAACTCTGCTGCCATGCAAGTGGTAACAAAGACTGGATAATGAACATGAATGAGATAAAAGTAAGAACTTGAGTCCCTTAAGGGGATTTGGCACTTCTCACCACCTTGTTCAGGGGTTAGGAGAAGTTCAGAATTACTCACAAAAGTACAGTTCAGGCAGCAGGAGAGTGCTTCCAGCAGAAGGAGCCTAAGGCCCAAATCCAGATGAGACCACCAAAGCTGGGATGCTAAGTGCACACAACAGCTGGAGCAAGCAGAGGGAGCTCATGGCAAGCCATGGACACACTCTGAGATGGAGCAAGAGGGAGGGCAGGCAGTTGGACCCAGGGTGATAACCTCGACTACAAAGTGACAGCTTTTCAGTGTCCAGACTCAAAGAGGTACCAGAAGCATAAGGCCAAAGCCAAGAACATAAGGAGCATATGGCAGAGCCTCTGGGCCAGGAGTCACTTCCAAGAGCTGCCCTCCCCTCCATCCAACTGCCAGGCTTACTGAGGCTCACAAACTCATTTCTGCAGCTTCAGGCCCAGAACTCTGGGAGATTCCTATGGCTGCTGAAAGAAACAGTCAAGCAGTTGTGCCTGTGTAGCACAGCTGGTGTCCCAGCAGTGAAGGGGGTCAAACTGCCACCCAAGAACAAAGTGGGTCAGGGACACCAGCTTGGAACAGACTCTGGGCCAATGTCTGGACAAAGAAATGATGATGCAGAACTTGCTGTTTGCTTCCTGATCTCAGTAAGGCTCTGAGGGACACGCTGTGGACAAGGTGGTCTTCCCGAGAATTTCTATCTACACTTAACAGGAAGCTTCCTACTGACTGCTGCTCCCATTCCCTTAGTCTGGAAGGAGCTAAGGCCTTAATTAAGGTCCACCCTTACTGCCAGACTGGGAACCAGGATTAGAAATCAAAGACAGAATAAAACAGCAGTTCCTGGCCAGTCTTGCAGACACTGGTGGGCTAGGCCAGTGCACAGAAACTCTCACATAGCACTGAGGCCAGGCCATGGCTTGGAACCAGCACACAAGAAACTCCTGGGGACAAAGAATTCCTCAACGCTGCTGCTGCTCACCATGGCCATGCCATGGCTGTAACAGGATAAGCAAAGCTGGGTCTCTCCCAGAGCAGCAGTAACCTGAGCCAGAGAGGAAACACCAAACTAAGAAAGTTGCACAAGGAGCCGGAGCTTGCCTGAGCAACACAGCAGAAAGGGAGCATGGGGCAGGCACCCTGAGTGCAGAACAGAGTCCTCCCCTGACGAGAGAATATGGAGTTCCAAAGGTGCCTTCACACCAAGGAGGATGATCCCTCCAGCACAAAAGCAGGAGGTGTCAGAAGCCAGTATTTTAAAGGAAGAGAACCAGATCCACTCCTAGGAGACAACAGCCAAGGAGGACTCAAAAGCAGGGGAACACACCTGCCTTGGGTGCTGAGCTTAAGAAGGTTCATTACAGCATTTAACAGGTACTGCAGTGCTAAAGGAACCTTCAGACCTCCATATGCCACCGACTCAGGTACACCCTTATGCATCACAACTCAAATACTGAAGAACTGATTCAGAATCTTAGTGTTATAGACATTAATAAGGACTTATTTTGATTGTGAGGGTGGTGAGGGCCTGCCATAGGTTGCCCAGAGAAGCTGTGGCTGCCCCATCCCTGGAAGGGTTCAGGCTGGATGGGGCTTGGAGCAACCTGGTTTAGTGGAAGGTGTCCCTGCACATGGAAGGGGGGTGGGACTGTGGTTCCATGGCCTAGCATTTTATTTAATTAAAAAAAAAAAGAAGGGGTTTTCCTCTGCTTCCTACCCCATTGTTACTTTAGTTTGAAGTTGTACATACCTATATCATCATAGCGCTCCACCCAGACCACATAGACTTTGGTTTCAGGTCCCATTGGGGGGATGGTCCGGCCCTGAGGCATCCTCTTGGATCTAGCAGTAGGACTGAGCTGTTTCCAACATAAGGGAAGAGTGGCATTTGCAAACATCATAAATCCAACAATGCAGCTAACAAGTATTTCCCAGCTGCTCCTCAGTCATTCATATCTCAGCCAGGTACAACCTCTGCCAGCTATTGAGCAGGGGCAGCTGTGCTGGAGCTACTCACTGCAATCTGGGGCACCAAGCTACTAGTATTCAATACAAACTAATATACATATATAATCAACCTTGAATCAGTTATATGTTTTTCTTAATGTTCTTGAAGACCTTAAATGAATAACTAAATATACATTTGGAAGTGAATTCTAAACAAGTAATCAGCAGTAATAAGTCTTTCGCTTACAGCTACAACAGCTCATGGTTTTCTGCTTTGTTAGTGTAGAAAAGCAACTTCTGGTACTTCAGACACAACTGACACTGTAACTGGGTAGGTAAGAAAAGTGTTCATATCTATCCATCCCCAATTTCCAAGCATGGATTTGAGGCTGAATTACTCTGTAAATACTGCCTATACTCTTCCCTGCATGCATTTCAAGATTTCAGGATGCAGAGTATTACCACTTAGCAAGATTACATTACTTAGCATGTCTAAGTGTTATATTTATCTTCTACTGTAGAGGCAGGACCAAAGCAGATATCAAAGATTAATGACAAGAAACAAATAGTTCTACACATCAGGAAACCAAATCATAGACGATCAAAAATTCTGAGCATTGCCAGCATGCCTCTTGAAAGTAAAAAAAAAGAGCACCATTTTTTAATGCAAGTTTTGCCTTACCCGCTGGGAGGGATTAAGATTGTCTGTATGATTGGGGAAGAGTTCAAGTGTCAGAGGCTGCTGCTTCAATATTCCTGGCAGCAGATCCATGTTGGAGTCACTTTCTTGGTCAGAAACACTGCTTTCCAGTGAATCAGCTGTAAGTCAGAAGAAAAAAAGATGAGTTTTTTCTATTCTTCCACCAAAAAAATTAGGCTGCCATCATATATAAGGTTTTAATACTAAAAACTGTAAGGCTTCTGCAACTAGACATGCATAAATGTATGGTCAAGTCAATATAGTCCTCATAAGCAGGAAGATAAGTTAGGAGATAATTGCCTGTTATTCCAGAAACAGACTGCCAATAAAGCACTCCCTATGAGCTTACACACATCCCAGCAATTTCCTATAGAATAGTCTCCTCCTTCCTATGGCTACACCACATTTTATTCCAGGCAACTTTTAGCATGCCAAGAATGCCATGAAAGCTGTTGCTTTTCTACTTAGCAGTGGTACAAACACTCCTGTATGTGCTGCAGGAGCACACCACTGACAGGAAAGGAAAATAAAATGGCATCACCAGTTAATGGCAAACCACATGTCCAACCTAAAGCACCCTGGCAACAACAGAACTGCTGTGCATACCTGGACATCTACAGAGGTTCAGAGAAAGGTACAGAGCAGATGCCACATCTGGAAGGAGTTTAAGGATTAGAATGCTGTAATTTAAATGTCCACACCTTTCTGACAAGGATCTTGCTAAACACGCTACTTAGTTAATTGATTTAGATTTTACTTCTGAAAGAGTTCTCAAATAAAAAAACTGTTGGTTTCATTTTTGTATAGAGCATGTACAGACAGATCTTACTCAGTGATTCCACTGGTGATGGGACAACAAAGGCGATTTCTGTCAGGGCATCTGCATAATACAGCACCTTCTTCTGCCCATTGAAGATACTTGCCCCAACATCTTCTGAGATAGTTAGATCATCTGAAATGGACGGAAAAGGAGAGCTCAGCCAGAAGGAAACTCTACTTCTTAACACTCTGCATCAGAAATGACCTTGAAATACAAGGTGCAATCAATGAGAAGAAATCATGCAAATCTCATTTTAAAATGAAAGGAGTCAAATCTCATGGCTAACAACCCTTCTCAGGTAAAAATTTTTACTATCTTGAAGGAAAAGGCATTTTTGGGTTGGGAATGGCTTCATTTTGAACACACTTCCAATGTACTAGATTCTTTATTTCCTAGTACTCTAGTAAGCACATCTGCCACAAGAATATATCTACTGTCCATTTCTGAACATTCCATCCAGCAACATCATGCAGTTAGTCATTCAATTTTATCATTTCAGTCTGATACTATTCTAGAATTCCAAGCCAGCTTCTACAGGCTCTTCTCAGTCTTTTCTCTGTCAAGCAGAGTTAGAAAAAGATCTGTTACCAATCAATGCAAGAAAGGTCCTCATTTTCAGTCCCCACTGATTCCCTCACCACAACTGACCAATACAGGCTGCCAGAGCAGAGAGAGAACTTCCCTCCCCTCTTTTCCTTCCCCATGTCATCTCCGGAAAGACTAGCAAGGACATTAAAATGAATTGTTTCTCTGATCCAGGTTACAGAAGGGTTCCTGGGACAGCTGTCTCAGCAAAGCCACTGGAGCAGTGAAATTCAGCATACTGACAGAGAAGTGGCCAGAGACATGTTGAAGGCTCCAAGCCATTCTACAGCATCAGGAAATAATTCCCACATCTCCAGTGCACAGGCTCCCAAGGAGCAGCACCACAACTTGAACCATCTCTTTAGGAACTTCTTTGTTTTTGGGGGGTCTGCAGGGAAACATTCCCATGAAATTATTTTAAGCACATCTCACCAGAAGCTATTTTAGACTCACAGAATCATTGAGGTTGGAGATCATTGAGGCTGGAGTCCAACTGTTAGCTCAGCACTACCAAACTCACCACTAACCCATGTCCCCAAGTCCTACACCTGTGCAGCTTTTAAATCCCCCCAGGGATGGTGACTCCACCACTGTCCTGTGCCAGTGCCTGACTACCCCTTCCATAAAGAAATTGTCCCTAACAGCCAATTTAAACCTGCACTGAGGCTATTTCCTCTCATTGTGTCATTCATTACCTGGGATACTGACCCTGACCTGGCTACAATGCTTTTCAGGGAGTTGTAGAGAGTGAGGTCTCTCCTGAGCTTCCTTTTCTCCAGGCTGAGCCCTTCCAGCTCCCTCAGCTGCTCCTCATTGGACCTGTGCTCCAGCCCATTCATCAGCAGAACCACATTAGAAGTAACCTGCCCTTCCTCCCTTTCATTTCTGAATGCATTTTCTGTTTCCTTCTTCCCTGAGCTGGTTGAATTAATTCAGTTATTTAGTGGTCTGTGTTTTCATTCAAATGGCTGAAAAAATTCGAGCTGAAAAGTCCACATCAAACCAGGTCTCCTGCTAATTCAGGGACCTGCCTTCTGCAGCTGTTCTGACACAGCCACTGCAAAGGGAGGTCAGAGGGCTATGCCTCTGAGAAAGTACAGCCTGACCCTGTCCTTAAAGCAAAATTAAATCCAGACCTGGCCATTCTGTAATCCATCCTGACTTGCTCAGAAAAAGCAATACCTCTGCACTCTAACCTCTCGTGAACACTTCCAGCCTTCTGTGGTTTGTACTTTTATTCCATAACTAAGGGAGAAGCCTCCAGCTGGCTGCAGATACAGGTGAAGGGCACTCCTAAGTGAATGGACAGCAGAGCAAGTGCTGCAGCTGTAATAGTGTCACACCTGATGCCAATATCAGGTCCAGGATGGTGAACAAGCTGCACCAGCCTTGCCACTGCCTTTGGGTGGCCAACCAGAGGCTGTGGCTCTGCAGATCAACCAGAACAGGTCTGGGCCTTGGAGCAGTGACACTGAAACCAGCCCAGATACTACCAATTCCCAGAGGATCTGATCAAGTTGTCCAAGGGAGAAGCTAACCCAACCCCCAATTTCCCATCCTGGGATGGCAGCTCACAATCCTGAGGATCATTTTGGGTGACAGAATGGGGAGAGGGTGGTGTATGACAAGCTCAGGGTAGGAATTGCTCTAGTGGAAAAAAGCAGAGCCAAAAATGCAAAACAGAGAGCCATGTGGGGGTTCCAACACCTCCAGGACCTATAAACAGCATCTTGAGTCAATATTTCATTTTGATCTACTTAGAGAACACACAAAAAAAAAAAAAAAAAAAGAAAAAAATCACACTGTATTTCAAGCCTATTTGCCAATACACAGAACAATCTGCAACAGACTTCACCTGAATACTGGTTTGGAATAATATATTAAAGACTCTTCAAATCTTAAAAAATATAGCCCAGAGGTATTTCTTTTGCTGAGGCTACTTTCTCCCAACAACATACAATTAGTTTTGCTCACTCTGACTTGAAGCTTCATTTAATATTTACATGTTTCTTTCTAGCAAATATCATTAATCAAAAAAATCAACCAAACAAAAACCCCAAAAACAAAAACCCCAAAATCAAAGAACAAAAAAAAAAAAAAAAAAAAACACCAAACCAAAACAAACAAACAACCACCAAAAAAAACCCACCAAAAACAAACCAACCACCAAAAAAAAGTGTGCCGGTGTTCAGATAGGTACACAGGAGCAAAAAACTGTCTTATAAAGGAGCCTAAACATTTTCATTTACTACAAAGGACATTTACTATGTCTTACCTTGTTCAGGTCCCTCTTCATCACTGCAGCTGTTGATTGACCAGCTTGTTGAGACATGACCAGTCCACCCAGGGTGCTTCCCAACATCAACAGACCAGCCAAGAGACAGCAAGAACTCCAGGAAGTGAGGCTGAACAATTCTGGAAGACTCCATGTTCTTCAGGATCTGAAACCACCAGCAGCACCATGTTGGTACAAAAGCAGGAAACAAGTCTCTTCCTCCCCAGCTTTTTTAATTAATTTTTTGTCACCAAAAATTTTGCCCAAATATAGCTAGAGCACAAGCCTGGAACCCCAGACTTTCTACGTGGACATTACTCTCTGCTCCTCAGCATCCCCTTACCCTGCTTGGTCTTGTCCTATTCAATCAACTTGGCTTTCTGCCAGCATTTTCAAAGCCTGTAAACCAGTGAATTAAATGGCTGGAAATTCTGAGACTCAAGCACCCATCAGAAAAAACACTGAGTACTCAGTGCAGAACCTGCATTTACACCAAAGGTAACACAAGAGTTTTCTAGACTGTTTTCACTATTAGACCAAGTTAAAATTTGAGGTGATATTTTCCTCACTACTCACCTGTACATGACACAGACTGCTCTAAAGGGCAGGTATCACAGCCCATTGAAGTATGAAACAGATTCTTCCAAAACAATTTTCAGTAGCAGTGAGTGTGCACGTCAATCAAACATCACACCTAAAGTTTAATTCTACTTCTGACAGAGATCTGGGATGTTTCCACATGTTAAGGCAATTTTTATCTCATTATGACCAAGTGAGAGTTGAGCCCTTCACCAAACAGCACACAAGGACACATGTGATTTGGATACCAGAACCACTGGGGTTGGTGGAACAAACAATCCATTAATTCTTTCCAGGCCATGCAGGAATTTGTTTTGTGGCAGAGGCAGCAATCATTTTGGCTTGTGCAGGGGCAGAACACTGGGACACAGGCTCCAACAAAGCAGAAATTGCAGGGATGAGTGCTGAAAGGAAAGCTTTCAGGCTGGAGGCTTTGTGTAGCCACATAGTCCTGACACTCCATCCTCATGCCTCATACAGTGCTCAGCAGTGACTAGACACACTGCATTGAAATATTATTAATCCTCATTACTGAGCACATTGAAACCATAGCTGTGCTTCAGAAAAAGTCAGGGTAAGTGTGGGCTGGAAGACATAAGAGCTCCATAAGAGCATATAAACATTCTGCTAGTTCCACAAGTGCATGTCTCAACTCAAAGGCAGACCCAGCATATCTTGTTTCACAGCTCCCTTTGCAGATGAAAAGATTCTGCACTGGCTACTCTGAATGACAATTTGAACACTCACAGACAGATGATCCTGGTTTCAAGAACTGCCACCCACATCAAAGCAGAAGGTGCTGCAGTGTTCTGCCAACTGTGCATTCACAGTGACACAAGGAGTTGGCACAATGATTTATTAAGGAGGCCACGCTTCTACTCTTTACTACAAGAGTTATGAATGGAATGAGAAGGTACTAGAGAAACAGAGAAACATCCTTTCCTAATGAGCCCATTAACCCTCTTAGCATGTTTCTAGGTCACAAAGAAGTCCCAATTTAGATTTGCACAAATTAACCTGATTAACCTAATCGCCTTTGAATCTAAATATTATGGCTTAAAGACTTACAATGCAATAATACTTCCTTACTTGCAGAAAGTTTTTTATTCCTTTAATATTTGTTCAGCATTAGAATGAAACCAAACTACCTTGACATTGCTCATTGCTGGAACAAACTGCAACCTTCCCTGCAAGCTGAGCCAACAAAGCTGAAATGCCTTTCTGATCTGAATCTTTGAACTCTACAAATAAGGACAATAAGGACAGAACAGATAATAAAAATACTATTAATATTATAATATATATCTTATCTATATTTTAAAATACAGTGATTTGTTACAATAATCCTAAGTGTGAGCAACGTACTTGAACCTACAGATGAAGGGAGTATGCAGTGACTTGTAGCTCACACTGGTTCTGACACTCCACCCTAATCACCAGCACTGATGCTTTACTCGCTTGGAAACTACTAGAAACCAGACAACACAGGCTAGTTGGCACTCTACATTTTCACTTACCTCCTGGCTAGTTTTCTGGCCTGCCTTCATGTAGAAAATGAAAACAGTATCAAAAGGACGACACGGTAACAAATCCAAGTAGCCAAGGTCATCAAAAAACCCAGGAAGAGCAGAGTCAAGTGCAATCAGGTGAGGAGGTAGACGACTGTTAGTAGGTTCCTGCCCAACAGACAGAGTTCAACAGCTTAAAAACCCATCTACTAATTTAAAGGTCTTTATGGCTTCAACGGCAATCCATTAAAATATAAAAAGACAGCTTCCCTTCTCTAAGAGCAAAATTATACAGGGACTTCTGATGCAATATAATCTTGTCACTGTAAATGAGTAACAGCAAGCATAACAGGTTGACAATTTGTTGCATTCCACTCTCATTAAATAAAAGTGGTACTTTGCCAGTGAGAGACATAATATTTTGCTCAAGAAGAGCACACAACAAAAACAGCAGATGCTTTCAGAACATCACAGCCATGCACACAGTTGCATGTGCAGTTACAGATTAACTTAAATACCAGTGATATGTAATATACTGAGCATTTTCAGACATAATTTTTGCTAACGCTCTATAGTCTAGTCCTCCTGACAGCTTTCTGGAAGGAAAAAACAACAAATACAAGGGAGACTCCATAAGTAAGAGGCAGAATTTCAAATTAGGAATATGAATCTCCTCTAAAAATAATTATTTTGATTTTACAAATAAACCTCGACATCTACTATGTACCAAGTGTTTATGTATGATTAAACCACCTCAGCACAACCACCTCTGAAGCAAAACTTCTATGGCAGTTATATTTCAGAGAGTCTTCAAGGACCATCCCAAAACCTAACTCAAGTTGTAATAGTGATTTTAAGTCTGAACATCTGAGTGTGATGGCTTATAACAAAGATACAGACACCTATTCAGAGCATTATCAGCTTGAGGCCCAGCCTTTCACAACCTTGCTCTGAATCCTGGAATACTGGATTCTATCACTTGATTTGATTAGATTGCAGCTGAACAGCAGCTGGAAGTACATAGATCTTCCACTGACAAAACTTATTTCTCCTTTTGTCAAGCCAGATCACATGGGAACTGGAGGAACTGCACAACATCAAGAGGTATCAGATCACCTTCAATGCCTCTAATGAGAGGAACCCGAAGTGAGAGAGGAACAGACGCGCTGTCTGGAACTCCTGCGCTGGCGGCGGGGGCTTGCACTCCGTGATGGGATCAGGAAAGCTCTTCTTCCGCCACTCCTCTTCACTCCTCTGATCTATGGAAGTCTCAAAGACAATCTGCTGAGCCATGCCATTCCTCAGCTTCTCATGGCGCTCTTCAAGCTGGAAAACATTGCATGAACTGCTGATGTCACCAAAATTACAAATGTCCACTAAGAAAACAATACATCACTTAGGAAAGCTCTACAGCAGCAGTCCACCACCAGAATGGTTACTAAAACACTTTCAAAAAGACCTTGCAACACTGCAAAGTGAGCACCTTAACACCTGTTGGCATAGGAGAGCTCTGTGAATATCCAGTATCAGCCATGGCTTCTCCTATTCAAGAGGACAGAAACTAAAACAGATCCTGTGAAACTTTAAAATATGAGACATGCACTCTTTTCTTCCCTCAGAAAGGTCTCAAAAAAGACCCTTCCATTTCCCCAGAAGAAGCAACAAATGCAAGTCATTGTTTCCTACAATACCAGGATATTAGGATCAGTAATAAAACATGTTGAGCAGTGTCTCCCAAATAACACAACCAAAGCACTGGCATCTTCTTGGAGAAGTGCACAGATATAACCAATTTTCAGAGGTTATTATTCCATTAATATAAAATTGGATAAGCCAAAGAGTAAAACTATTTACACTAAGACGTAAGTGCACAACTCATGAACAGACCAAAACCCCAAGAACAAAATCAAGTCAGAGACAGTTACTTACTTCCTGATTCACAATTTCATGTAAATCTGGAATGCTCAAGTCAGCTTTCACAAATGGAATCTTGTCCACTTCTTCAGGAAAAGGGCGTTGTTTCACACTGTGTTTCAACCCAACATCATTTTTGGGAGCTGGTCTAGGTTCTGGTACAAATGTCTGACAAAAAAAGGTTGTTTTTACATTCAAGGTATTGCATCAATAGACAATATCATAACAGATGAAAAACATTTTCCCTCCCCACCAAAACTACAATAATCTACTAGTGAGCAGCATTATTAAAAAACATTAAATATTTTAAACTAATAGACTTGTATTGAAAAATGTGACTGTAAATTTTAAAAAGACAAAAAGACACAACTGTCCATTTTGAAATCTATGAACTCTGCTAAGCATCTAGCCTGTAAACAGTTGCAAACCACCACCCCCCCCCCCCAAAAAAAAAGTAAGCTTACATAGCAACATCTTATTTTCAGCCCATTCTAACTGTATTCAGAGAAAGCTGGCCAGTATTTGAGAAGCTCCATTTGAACCCTCCTGACTGTGATGATCACAACAAGCCAAGGCCTCAAAGACAGCAGCAATGCTGTGGGTCAGGAGATGCACTGCCAGAATAGCCAAAGGACTTGTACCATGGATCATGATGCAATTTTGACATTGCTACTACATCATGTTCTATACTGTCACTACGTAATCCCAAACTTCAAGTTACCAAAGAAAGCAACAAATGATCTAGGTGCAGGTTTAGAGGTGCATCAGCTCCAAACAAGCAAGACCCTTATGGCATCTTCAGTGCTGTTTCCTAAGTTCACGACTGATTACATTTCAAAAGGCCAAAACCATTAACAATTATGTTATAGAATGCCTTCAAGTTGGAAAAGTTCCCTTAAAACTGGTGAGGAGGCCAGCAGTCAGATCATGGCCTGCCCTTTAGTGAAGCAGGTAGCACACCTGGACTGAGATTATTTAGCCAAGGGTCTCAGCTCCAGAGACAGCAGAACTCCAAACACATCCTGGATGGTCTTTCCAAAGGCTGCTTTGCAGAGACATTCATCTAAATATGAACATGCCAGTTGAGACTGACAAGCTTCATTTCAGCTACATTAGTGCCTTTCTTTTACAGAGGGTCATGAGAAGAGTTTAAAGATTTGGAGAAGTTCACAGACAGAAATTCTCATGACAAGAGTACATGCTCCATTAGACAACTGCAGTAAGAAATTTTACTGTAAAATAAGACTGAGGTATCTCTCCTCCACCATTTCACTCCAGAGCTGTTCCAGAGTTCCTCTACATAATTTTTTTTCACAGCAGGTTTACAGCCATCTTTGCAACATCAGGCCTTGTAGCTTGAAGACCTGTTCTCTCTGCAGCACCACATTCTACACCTCCAGACTTCACTCTCTCTGCTGCATGGGCTTTCTTTGTCTGACACCTGAAGACTAGCCCTGCCTACACAGTAAATACACTGTACCTTATCCCATCACTTCAGAAGATGCTTTCAGGGAAAAAAAAAAAGAGAACTCTCCCTCTCTAAAGCAAGTCTGCAAGTTGAGAAAGCAACAGCACTTTCACAGTCTGTAGTTAATATTAATCACAAGTGGTAAAGAGTCACCAGAGATGTGGCACATTACCTACAGCTAAAGGCCCTGTGGCTCAGCCTTAATGCATAATCACCAGCTCTGGGGGGCTGTCTCACATTAGTGGAATTTCTGTTGAACACCTCTAATTAAAGATTTCTTTATGGGCTTTGATAGAGACCTTTTGATTTGCTTTAGCTCCTCTTGGTAAAAGACAGAGTTGCTGGGCCCACGCAAATCTTCCAGATGTCCCACGGATCAACACCGTGACAGAGGGGAAAGAGTCATCTGCAAAGCACATGGGTAAAGAGAATAAGACATCATCATATACTGCAAACGGTTCACTGTGTAATCATTCAAGAAGAAGAAAATACAGGCATGACAGTAGAGGTTTTTCTTTCATAGTTAACTCCTCCCTGACCCTGAAGAAAAGTCCTGATGAAAATCAGGCAAATCCCTCTGCAGCAGCTAGTGCTAGTCTATGTCTGTTCAATACTTGCCAGCTCAGTTTCATCATTAAAAGCAACTTTCGTCTAAATTCATGCAGATCACAACTTCTCCAAATACCTCCAAAGAAATCAAAGAAGACACTGCCTGTTTAGGTGAGACAATGATCATATGGAGACACCATTTACATCATGCTTTCATGACCTTCTGCAAAAGTTCCTCACAAATAGCAGCAGTAAGGACAGTGGAAGGACAAAAGATAATGGCAAACAAAGACTCGGAAGATTCTGACTCCACATCACTGAGAATTTTTCCCCACAAGGAATAGGGACACAGAGAAGTTGTCCTCTCAGGTTTGCAAGACCCACTTGGGCAACACCAGGTTGTGTTATCCTGGTCCAAATCTAGTCCTGGCCTTGTCTACAGCAGGAGGTCAGACTACAGAGTCCTGAGTTGCCTTTCTACTGGCACAATGCTGGTTTTAACATTGCAGGGATATCAGTCTTCCTTCAAGATTTAGAAGTCTACCAATATTAGTCACCTTGGATGAGATCATCATACTTCATCATAAGCTTTTCTTCTTAAAGGTATTTGCATTTATCTTTTGTGCACCTAAACCACACACTGGCACTGTCAGGTAATTAGCAGAATTCTATTCCTTCCCCAGTATTCCCCGGGAAGCTCAGGGTGCAGCACAGCCTATGCACACCCTGTACATAAGCACACAAACACAGAGAACCCAAACCAGCTCCTCAGTCACTCACTTCTGTGATCTGCCTCAGAACTGGCCTGCCATACTTGCGCATTATTGCAATTAATCTTGTCATTCAAAGGGGATTTGTAAGCAAGTTATACACAGCAAGAAAAGATAATCTAACTTTTGATTCCAACAGCTTTGCAGGATTCCACAGTAACACATTTAGCAAAGGCAGCATGAGGATGAGAATTGCTTAGCAAGCTCTAATCCACTCCAGTCAGAAACACATTTGCTCCAGCACAGACTGGGGGTGGACATGTGGCAATGGTTCCCAGCATTGTCACTTCCTGCAATATCTGTTCAGTGATTCTCAACATGGTCAGAGCACTCTGGACAACAACTCAACTTCTCAGCACTAGTTCATGCAGTTCCATGCAATATCTGCTTTCAAGATTAGTTTTTAGGCTCCATCCTATCTACAGATGAGGAAAATGTATTGGGGACAGTACATCAGCTCTAACACAAATTAGTTTTTAACTGAGGTAACATGTTAAAGAATTTTCATCTGTTCTATTAGGCAACACCATGAAGACTTATGGGGGATCAGTTATTCTGTTCAAAGCATCATTTAATACCAGATTTTTGTAATAGAAGTTCTTGATGGTCAAAGTCTATGAGGCTGAAATGAGTTAGGCTCAGCTGTGAAAGGCAACACCCTGTGACAAATCTCCTTTACAACAGGTGTCATTGACAGAACAGGATCAGACACAGGAAAGGTTTAACAACTCCAGAGCAACTAAAAGAACCTCTGCTAGAAGCATCCATAGAAATATGCAGTAATAGAAGGTCTAAAGCAAGCAGCAAGGAGACATGGTGCAAGCATAAAGAAGACATACTAACCATATGTTAAGCACTTTTCTCTGTCAAGTTTCCTATACTCCTTAGATTTTTGCTCTTGTACGAACAAGGATGTTTCAAAGCATAATGCTATTACTTCACCCATTATTTCAATGGCAGTCAGCAGCAAGAATGTGATCTAACTGGAAAGACTTGGACAGCTGCATAAACAATTTGGGTAGGCCTGTGCACATTTCATTATCACTGGCAATAAAGTTATTCCCAGCACTTCATCCCAGAGCAACATTCTGCTCTGTGTGCCCACTCACAGACAGGAAAGCCCCTGAAATGTGAGAGACACGCTTGAAGTACCTTTGTTTTGCAGCTCTGTACAGAAAGTTTTAGCCTGAGAAAGAAGGAAATGGGAAATCTGAACTTACTCTGTTCATTCCCTAGAGGCTGCTCCAACATGGCCAGGATGACACTGTTGTCCAAAACAAAGTAACGGAAGCTGTGCTTGTTTATGGTAGGGAGACGGGAATATTTAATTAATGTGGTTTCATTCACCAAGCTGCAAGGAGAAGCAGGACCACTGGGAGAAGGAAATGCTCCAAGTAACTGCATAATGCTGCAAGTGAGAAAAGAGTTGAGAGTTATGTTAGATTAAGTGAACTGTTCCACCCAAGCACAAACTTTCACTCAGATTCTTCATCTGTATCTTGACCTAGCAGTTACATTATCAGGGCACATTTGCCCTCACCCAACCAGCACCTTCAGAAAAACATGCATGAAAACCTACAAAGAAGGGTACTCTGCCTACAGATTGAGCTTCTTTATAACCTGGGTTATAAAGCTATTAATACATTCTTTAAAGTATGACAATCTTCCTTAGCTTTATGTACCCTTCCATAGCTTTATGTTCATTTTTAAAACATTATTTCTCCAACCGTACATACTTTAGCCCTTTCATAGCAACAAGTAGGACAGACATTGCAGTGCACTAGTTAAAATTGCCTTTGCTTTCTTAAAGTCCAGATTACAGTACCTTAAAACCCTTTTAGGGGTTGACACCCTAAAAGGTCCAGGATCACACAAGCACAACTATCACAGATTGTAATCTTCCCTGGAAGAAAGCCTCCAGGTGGGGTCCAACAGTGCCCACCTCCTTGGAGCCACAGCCTTAGGAGGCCCCTAGAAGCATCGTTTTAAATCATTTGAAGTTGTACAGGGTCTCACTAATACTATTAGAAATTGAAAATTTCTATGGCAGGAACCAGTAATGAGAGTTGTCCAGTGTCGGACTGAAGTTCACACCATTGAGGTGAGGACTTTACCACCCTTAATACCAACACCCAGAGCAAAAGTAAGTCTATTGATTGCCCTCCCCACACACTTTTCCAATGTATTGTGAAAACAGTTTCATCTCTCTAAATAAAAATAAATTTCAGGCAACAATATAGATTTGTCCACAAATTCCAATGAGTAGTTACTTTTTCTTGGAAATTACACAGTTGTTTTTACTAACAGTAATGTTTATAACAGTTGGATTCTAAAGCAGAGTAAAAAAGAAACCAGCTATTGCCTTTTGCAAAGCATATTTATCCTCCCCATCCTCAATCTGTCCTGTCTGCCACTGTGCTGTTCAGCTCATAACACAGTGCTTTCCAACTTCCCTGGAGCAAATCCCAATTTTCCTCTCTGTGCTTCCCTTCTCCAACCCACACATTATCTGTTACTGCATTTCCAGCAGAACCTCTCAAATTTATTAATCAAGCCCAACGCTATGGGCAAGAATCCATCCGATCCTGCTCCAGCATACGTGTGCTGCATGTGCCATTCCCTGCTGTCACAGTGTCTACCAGTTTCCTCACCAGAGTGGGGACAGCATATGCTGCCAGGCTGAGGAGAAGAGGAAATGGGAAGACAGGATCACTGGGGTAAGTGAAAGAGAGAAGGAATTGCTGTCTGCAGAGAGGCCTGGCCAGGAACAGAACACCACGGCTGGAGGAGGGTCTGGGTTTTGCTGTACAAGGAAGAGAGGAGGCAGGAGGGGAAAACAGTGATCAGAGGGATCTGTTTTCTGTAAACACCTGCAAAGGGAGGGGAAGAGACCTAAGGCAGAGCACAGCCCTGCCCAAAGGGCAAAGATAGGGAACTTCTGCCTAATTTCTTAAACACTCTCGGACAAGGCAATACTGAACATTAAAGGTCCTCTGACAAATTACATACCATGTCAATGTAGCTTCAGCAGCATCCTTCACTCGCATGGATGCAGGGTTTGGCTCCTTATCTCCCTTGTACTTGACCTCCTGCTCACCGTTTTTGGATTTACTTCCTGAAATGCCCAGCTCCACAATCTCCAGTACCTCTTTTAAACAATCCTAAAACACAAGAACCACATTGAAGCAGAAGCACTTGGATGAATATATCCAAAACCTCAGGGAAACAGTGATATATCATTAAGTGAAAAAAACACTGCTTGTAATATGAGTTCTTTATTTAAAGGCAGAGGATTACTCCTACACTGTTAAAATATGATCACATTTGCTATAGAACTGGTATTTTTCTGTTTATAGATGTGTACTTATATTACCAATTTATATTCTAATGGTAAAAAGTTCTCTGAATGGATAAATACAGACAATATATTTCATTGCACAAGGACTATTATGAATGCAACAGAAAAATGTAAACATACTTTAAGAGATAATACTTGTATTTCTAGGACACTCTGCAGAAGTTTTAAGTACTAAGCACATTAGGAATGAACTCATCTGGAAAGCTGCAAGAAATCCTTTTCCGAATTTTTCAATTGCCAACATCATTAGTAAAAATACATTAGTATTTCATTAGTAAAATATATCATGGTATCTAATTCACCAAGAGAAAAATAAGAACATTCTAAAAGCACATTCTAAAAGCTTCAACAAATCTATTACAAGATAAGCCAGCAGTCAGTAGACCTACAGATATGACACACCAGTGCTGTGCAGAACAAAATCACCTGCTGAAAATATTCAGATTGCTACAACAAAGGTTTGGATATCATGGCTTGAGCTACAGAATAATAAATAAGTGATTAAAAATGAACACAATTGGTCAGGTTGTACCACCAGAAACCAGACAGGTTTCTGTGTCTTGGGCTTTGTCCTTCCTTATTTCATTGTTGATACAGAATAAAAGGTGAAGAGAAAAATCAAAGTTCTTTAACAGAGTAAAATTAACCAGCATTGAGCTGAAAAGACTGGCCACAAAGAATTGCAGCAGGAGTTTACAGACTAGCAATATAGCATGTGAAATTTAAAGCAACTGTCAGAGCAGGCACCTGGGAAGCTGCATTTTTAACACTTGCAAATGTAGGGAAAGGTTCTCACCTGACTGACTATCATGACTCAGGAATGAGCTACTCAGTGTCCAGTACATAATGCACACAGTATGTAACCCTATCTCCTCATAGCGGTAATTGAAATAAAAAGACCATAATGAAATGGAATAAAGCATAATGCAACTGACTAAACACAACCTATGCCACATCCAGGGAACCTATCCTATCACAGTCACCTACTGCCATGCCAGTACTCCAAAACACGTGCAGCAAGCATCTTTAAATGAAGTTCTGCTTGTGGGCTTTCAATCTTCTTTTTTTAAAATATATATATATTTATATGTTACAGAATAAACAAAATACAAAGATATATAATGCTCTACCTAAAAAGATAATAAAATATTACATAATACATATATATCTACTATCCATAAAAACACAGAAAGACCACTAAGTTGGCTCTGAAAGAGACTAACAATGAAAATGTGCATTCAATTTTTTTCATTTTTTATTAAACAGCAGGGCAGAAGGCAATTGAAAACATGTCTCTCATTTCCTGCTCTTCTCAAGCTTCCCAACTAAATTCCACCTTATATTGAGATATGCTTTGCTCAGTTTCCAGAAAATTGGTGAAACAAGCTCTGATTATCACAATATTAGCATCAAAGGAATTCCATTAAGCCTAGAAAATGCTTTAGTCAGGTAAGAGCTGAGAAATGAGGAGAGTCATGGCTACCTGCAGCAGGTAACTATGGGATACCCCACTCATTTCCATATTTCTCTTTTGGTTTTCTCCAGGTTTCTTTTCTTCTCTCTTTTTCCAGTTTCACAAAGCAAGAAGAAAGACTGAGACATTCCTATAACTACAAAGGTAGTTTTCAAGCCAAAAACTGCATCAGCAAATAAAGATCAGAAATTAAACTTCAGAAGTATTTTGCACAGAAACTATTTTTGAAATTCTTAAGAAAGCTAAGCAAAGCACACTGTTTTAAAGTATTGAGAACAGACAGGCCGGACACAAAAGGCATTTCAGATGCAGCACTCCAAATGTGTCCCTGGGAGCTCTGACCTTCTCATCCAGCATGTCGGGGTGCTCGGTGAGCCAGACGCAGAGGCACTGGAAGGCCGCCACGATCATGGAGTGCAGGTCGCGCGAGTGCAGCGGGGCCGGGCGGCTGCACTGGTACACGATGTAGCTGCACACGGAGCTGATGGCGCGCTTGCGGTCCGCGGGATCCACCGCCACCTTCACCTGCGGCGGCAAGGGCGGCAGCGTGAGAGCTCCTCCTCTGAGCAAACGTCTCAGAGACAAAAACAGCTCTTGAAAACATTCCTAAATGCGCTTCCAAGAAACAGCAGTAAACTGAGCTCTTTTTGATTACGGCTTAAAACTGCAGGTAAAATTATTTAACAGTGATGGATATGGAAACTAAAAGTAAGGAAATGCTGCACTGAGGTGTGACCACATTGCATAGCTTGGTTTCAAAGAGCAGGAGTGGTACCTGCTCTCGGCTTGGTAAGAAACCAAATGTGTGCTGAATTTGCTTGATAAGAAACCAAATGGAAGCTGAATTAGCAGTATTGAAATTTTTTCCCCACAAATGATGCCTCTTCTTCAGCTCTAGCAACCCATTCTGTATCTCCAAGAACCCACTCACTGCTAACTCTCCCTTCCACAGGGCTTCATTCTGCTCAAGTAACTTTCCCCTAGATATATTCCCAGGACAATAACTTTCACCATTGGTAAAAGCAACAAAAAAGCCATCCCTGGACAAGCAGACTGATAAAACCCCCATAACCTCTTCCCCAAAACTCACTGCAAACACCTCTCTCTGCTTCTTTCCCAGCTCAGGGCTGCAGAGAGCAAGGCTCAAGATGAGAAGGTCAGGAAACAGCACAATGAGCCATGAGGACCTGAACTGTAAGGTTAAAGAACTTTCTCTCTTATTCATGGCTTATGACTCAGCACAGGAACAGATGGATTTTTCTACCCTGTAGCATCTGACCATGTTTATCCAAGCACGAAGGTGGATGGACTTGCTAGTGCCAGCACTGAAGCCTGGCAGCTGTATACCACAAATTCGAGTGACAATTCAGTGCCCCAGGATTTAGCTAGGACATCCTTCAGAAGCTCATGATCTACAGCAGAGTCCCCTCAAGGTAAGCTTATGAAAGGCAGGTTTGTGAACCAACAGTCCTGCAGGAAACATTTTGATTTTTGACTTTTCTAAGTCCCACTAATAGCTGCTGAACAGACACAAGACAGGGGAACAGCCCCTACCTGACAAAGGCTTTGGGACCTGTCACCTCCAAAGACACATGCAGAACAAGTCCCCACAGCAGTTCAGTAGGAGGAAGTGATCTATTTTTTCCCACTTTGTTGTAAAGGGGAAATGTATTCCAGGGCAAGAATTACTTCAGTTGCATGAGAATTATACATAGACTAAAGTATTTAACATTAACCTGGGAATACATTTGAAAAGATAATATATTTCCACATTCCCATAATCCTGGAAGAAAAAAAAACAAACCAAGAAGACCCTGGCTTAACCACACAAGCTGTAGAAAGCCCTGATTCTGTATGGTCCTCTATAAGATCCAATAATACACATTAATTCATTTCAGAACACTTTCAAATACATTGTTCAGCTCACACTACTGCAGTAGTGAATAAACACCCAGTCCAATATGGCTCAGTGCTAAATTAATGCTCTAAAAACTGCCTGAGACACACATTAAAAGAGTTCTGTTGACTTCCTGAGGGATTATGACAGGAAATGCTGAATTGCCACACCAGGTTATAATGGCTGCTCTAAGTACACCTCCTATTAGCAATACACTACATTTTATCCAGCTCTAAAAACTATTTCCAAGATGAGAGGGAAGAGGAAAAATGGTACAACAGAAGTTTCAGCTAAAAAGCATTCCCAGACCACATGTCCTGTAAACACAGTGCGTTTACACTGGGAGAACATTACCTGCAACAGCACTACTGTTTCCTTTTAATTTCCAAACAGAAGAGTTGCCAACAAACTCAGCCACAGAATCTGTTCTGTGCCATGACTTTCACCCAAGGCAGCAGGACCACAACTACCCTGTGAGAAGGGGCCAGAGCACACCAAGCTGCATGTCTCACCTTTGCCAGTCCAGAGAGCAGCTCCAGGGCAGCCAGGGAGATACTCATGTCCTGCCTCCACTGGGAGTTGAGCCTTTGGGTTACCAGGTGAATGCTGCGGATCAGCAATCCAGCAGCTGTATCTGTATGAAGAGCTAGGATATAACCCCAAAACCACACACCACAGGGAGGGAAAATAACTAAGCATTAGTGACAAAAAGCAAAGCACAGGCACAAGGCAAAGCAGACACAATACAGACATAAAATAAACCCTAACCATCTCGAAACTGGTTGATGCCTTTTGCACAGCCTAACTCCCTCACATATTCTCCAGGCATTATACAAACCCATTCAGACCAGCTAGCTAAATTTAATTTTTTAAAAGACATTTTGAATAATCCCAGAGCTCTGCTGCATTTCAGCAGCAGAACAGCTAGCTTCAGGTTTTGCTGTTGTACTTAAATTGTCTGTCATGTTATGTCTTTTAGTCTCTGGAAAATACATGCTTTGGTAACACACATTAAACATTAGTAGTTGTACTGAGGAAGTAAGGAGAACATGTCATTTCAGATATCTGTGTCAGAAGTTAACCATTCTATCCACACTTAATGTTTATCAAAAGCTGCACTAGTTCAATAGACACAGATAATGAAAGAATTAGTGCTAGAGAAACAATTCTTTCTAACCTTCTGTTTTCTTGAACCTTTAACTGAAAATTAAAAATGGGAAACATTTAAGTATCAGTTGCTCTCACTTCAAAATACTATGAAACATAAATACTATCCGCATTTGTTAAAACTGAAGTATGCAAATTAATGTCAGAAATAAAAAAATGGTCAATGACTAGTTATAAAGAGACATGAGAACTGTGACAGATAAGGCATATGCTTCCCAAAATTTAAATTACCTTATTTAACACTCAAGAACTATGTCCAGTGTCATACCAGGAGCAGATTCAAGAGTTTACTATGGCTAAACAGTAACAACAGACCATCATGTTTTCAGTTTTCTCTTGTTTGGAGCATCTAGTGGAAACACTAATTCTTTTCATAAGCACATTACAACCTTACCTTCTGGGCACAGGAAATTTTAAAAATCCAATAAAATGAATACACTACAAAAATATATTTCAAGTTATGTCATGGTATGAAGACTGTAATTCAAATATTTAGATGATTTTTAAAATCTTACAAATGGGTATTTTTACAAGCACTCATCAATGAAATCCCACATAAATTAAACATACAATTCAAATGGTGTACAGAAAACTAGCACTTTGATAATTTCAAACAAGCAAATCCTTGGGAAAAGGGAAAGCACCAACATGTTTATATGAATCCCTAGAATATACTGAAGCCTTTCCTGATAATCTTCCTCCCCTGGCTATTTACAGAACTAGATAAAAAAACCACCACCAAACATTTTTGGTTGGTGATGATAGAACTGTCACTCTAGGCTACAATATAATAAAGGTGATTTGTTCTCACATTTAATTGGCCAACATCAGTTAAACTCAAGACCAAAGGAGCAAATGAAATTTCAGGATCTTGACAGTCAGTCAGTTTCCCACACACAGATTTAGAACATGGATTTTACTACAAAGAGTCAAAAATGGACAGTACAAGACATAGCAAACTAAAGTTAATTACTAAATTCTATTGTTACAGCATATGACATATCACAAGCCTCCTGCTTACTTGCTCCATAAAAGTCAGAGTCCCTGGAATGTTCTTAAAATGTGGTTTAAGAAAAGGTGCTGCAGAGGTCAGGCGAGTATTTGGAATGCTATCAAAACTAATTAAGTGATTAATTTAAACTTGATGTACATATATCTTATTCTTGTTGACAGAAATTAAGTATCCTGAAACCTCAGTTAAAGTTTGCAAACACCTTTTTCATAAGCTTTTACATTCTGATTTTGAAAATGCTTATAGAGTCCTTCAGTAGGGTTAAAACAACCACTGGAAAGGCACATGTGAATGCAGACTTGCAGCACACAGCTGGGCTATCCCCCTGGCTCCAAACACCTGGGCACATTAATCCTTTAGCCAGAACTGTTACAGAAAAACCCAGAGCACACCAAGCTGGTACACCGTGCCAGGGTTTCCCAAAGAGCTCTCCTTACCATAATCCCTCAGGAGGGCCTGTGCTGGCCGCTCACTGTCGGGCGTCGTGGGCTCAGTGCTGCCACCGCTTGCAGTGCTGATGCCACTGTTGGTGCGACTGTGGCTTTTGAAGAGGTTGTTTTCACCACCATTCTGCAGAGTGAAAGGCAGTTTAGAGAGAGAAGAATTTCTGAGTTCCCCATGTTCTCACATGCAAAAGACCAAACCTCAAGATGCTACCCGAGACCCTGCCAGTAACAAGTGAGGAATGCATTCTTTCTGAAGAAGTAACTTCATAAACAAAAATACTCACTGTTTCCATCTGACAGCCAATGGCTTCTAGCAGTGCTGAATCCTGAACAATATTTAACATTGCACCTGCAGAATCAGATAGAAGAAGGTAACTATAGACTATAGAAGAATTCACTACTAAAAGTCACCAAGCAGCACAGAAGGTCTGATGTAGAGGTTTGCAGTCCTGTCCTATAAAATCTCTTATTAAAACACAGGACTTGCTTTGAGCTTGGCCATCTGAAGCAGATGAAATTTGAGACAGAGTGTAGTTTCAGCTATGTTAAAAATGCCTTGAACAGAATCTAAAAAAGACTGAGAGGGGATCTCGTCATTACACATCAATATCTCAAGGTGGGTGTCCAGAGGATAGTGCCAAACTCTGTTTAGTGGTACCCAGCAACAGGACAAGGAGTAATGCACAAACTAAAATACAAGAAGTTCTACCTTGACATGAGGAAAATGTTCCATCCTTGGAGGGTGGCAAAGCACTGGAAGAGGCTGCCCAGAGAGGTCATGGAGCCTCCCTCTCTGGGGACATTCAAAACCCACCTGGACAGGTTCTTGTGTCACCTGCTCCTGCTGACTCTGCCTTCGCAGAGAGTTAGACTGAATGATATCCAGAGCTCTCCTCCAGCCCCAACTGTTCTGTGATAGGTCTGTCAAATTCCTCAGTTTGGAAGGATTTTGGCTTCACAGAAGGGCTGGAGTGGTTCCTTGTCTCACATCAGACTGTGCTCATTTAAAAACTCAGGTTACCTGCTTGGAAGCATCACTTCCAGATGATGAGGAAAGCAATAAAGACATGGACCTGAAACTGGCTGACACTGGCACATTTGGTGGCTTCAGTTTAAATTTTCTGCCTCCTTCCCCTGTCTCATCCACCAATGAACATTTAGGAAAACACAACTTACTCTATGAAGGGAAATGACAGGACAAGGGGGAATGTTTTCACACTGAGAGAGGGCAAGGTGAAGTGGGATGATGGCAAGAAATTCTTTCCTGTGTGGGTGGGAAGGCCCTGACACAGGCTGCCCAGAGAAGCTGTAGCTGCCCCATCCCTGGAATGGTCCAAGGCCAGGCTGGACAGGGCTTGGAGCAGCCTGGGCTAGTGGAAGGTGTCCCTGCCCAGGGAATGGGGGTGGAATGCATGGTGGAATGACATGAGCTTTAAGGGTTTTTCCCAACCCAAATCACTCTGTGATTCTATGAAATGCACCACTTGCTGCTAAACATTTATTGGCAGATGGAAACAAACCCTGCTTTTTTTGAGAAGCTGGTGGCACATGTGAGAATTTCTGGCTAAAGTGGAGATTCATGAATTCCCTCCAGCTAAATCCAGCAGGAAATAACTTCACATATGGAAAAAGGAGCTTAAGAGGAGGATTACAGGGCAGGTGAACTGGCAGGGACTAGCATGGGAATAATAATTCCCAGGAAAAAGCCATTCCAGGTAGAGCAGCTATTCAGCTGGCTGCAGACCAACTCAGTGTGGAGGGGCATAGGACCACTGGGGTGGGATTAACAAAGCATCACCCTGAGGTGTCAGACATAGTACTGGAGGTGGGACAACCTCAGGGGCACCAATGCTCTGAGAGTCTCACTTGGCAACCACAGATATTCTCACCCCTTCACAAGCACTGGGTGCAAATTATTCTTTCAAATCACTCTCCTCTAGTCTTCTGCAAGAAGAGAAACTGCTTGAACTACTGGAATATAACCTTCCAAAAGTCTTTGCAGACTTGGATTTGTTTCCTTTAGCTATGCATCATTTTCTTGCCCTCCCCTGTTAAGCAGGTAAACTATCTGCCTCCCAGAACAAGGCAGACACTCCTATCACACCACAAGACTTTTGCCTTTTTAAACAGACAAAAGGAAAGTGGTAAGGGCAAGAACACCATCATGTTGAAAAAACTACTTCTAAAAAGAGAAGAATAAGGGAGGACAAGTAAGAATAATAGGTATGTACATTTATACTTATCTGAAAACATACTTAACTTGACAGATTATGCACTATCCAAGTTTTCATCTTCTGCTTCCTTTCTGAGTATTCAGCATAATGTTAATCCATTCACTACTTTGAAGAACAGTGTGCTAAACTGTGCATAGTGCAGCTCCACACTCTATTCCAAAACTTTTGGATTTTGTCTGAGGATTTACACACCACGAAAAAAATGTCATCTGTATTTTGCCAATTTTGCTGGATGACCAGTCGTCAAAATGTCAATATGTTTCTTAGGCTTAACCATGCCAAAACCTAAGGTTTTCTCTGAAATCCATTAATCAGGAATCATTCCTAAAATCACGACATTTTTACCTACTTCCATTTCCAGTTATGGCTGACTTTCTGTGCTAGAATGTGCTTCACTCTTGCTTCTACTTTTCAAGTACTATTCCACATAAAAAGGGAGAGATTAACAAAAATGAGAGGCTTTTTAAGATGTTTTCATAGTATGAGGGAGATTACACATATGACAACCTGCCAGGAATTTAAACCTTCTTGCAAAGCAACACATCACTAATAACCCATATTATCCCAGGACAGATTAAGACAGTCATTTCTATAATACAGTTAATAAATCAAAAAGCTGAAATAACCTAGTATCATTTGAGTGTTGTTGGGATCAGTTTCCGTTTGCAAAGCTCCTATAAGGATATTCACAAGCCTCAGCTTCAAGGACAGGAATGTTACTGGTTTATCATATGCTGAGCTTTCATCATTGCTGAATTTCCCTTCCAGGACAACCTGAAGAAAAAATACACTTATGTCAGTATCAATTAAAGATCATGTCAGCAGGGTTTTAAAAGCCAATGTTCACAGCACACATTGCTACTGACACACTGTAATATGGTCTTACTGTTTCACATTCAGTGGAAGAGTTCCAGTGCTAAAGAAAACACTCAATACAACCCACAACCCATTCAAATCCCACTCCCAGGAAAGAAAAATGGAACACAAAACATAGTGATAAATGTCCTACCTCAGACTTTATTGTTCCAAAATGATGAGGGAGAGGCAACAGAGACAGCAAGATGTTAATAGAAGCTCTTCTTAGCTCTGTGGGGTTTACATAGATTTTAAACTTTGAGAGTTCCCTGCAAATCAAAGCATCAGACAGTTAACCAACTTTTTACAAGAATCTGGAGCTGAATGCAACTAAGTTAATATCAAATATACACCCACGCAATGGTCATAAGTAATTTGCAGTATGCAATGTAGCTGTTTCTTTCTAAGACCTGTCCAAAAGAAGCAGCAGCTCAGATTTAAGCCCAGGAGATAAAGAATGCTTTTTGTCTAAATGCCTAACATCAAAATGAAACATGGTACCAAGACATAACACATACATTGAAGAAGACATGCAGAGACTACTATTAAGTGCCTAACTTAGCAAAACATTCAGAAATCTATAAAGCTCTGATAAGAACCTACTCCAACTTCATCAGTATAAATTATCAACTTTTCCATTTAATGATGCATAAGATTATTTACTTATTGAATACACTGCAACAACAGCCACTAATGAATATCTTGTGAAAGTTTACTTTAAAATCAATATGCTTTCAATATATTTTTGACATATTTCAATATATTTTCCTATTCTTAAAGGCACTGCTTTGCATCAATGAATATGCAGCTAACAACTCATATATTTAAGAACTGTCATTGCTTTAAAGAAAACTGCATTAAAGAAAACTGAACATTTGAGCTCACACAGTGTTGCTATTATTACCATTGAATACACACACACTGTGAGCCCACCAATTCCTTTGGTGAAATTATGCAGGAATGACAAAAGACAAATACCTCTCAACATCTCTGATAATGTTTATGTGGAAATGGCAATTTACCTGTCAGGTAAAATAGTCTCCAGAGCCGAAATGAAGTAGGGAACCACAACATCAATGCCTTTCAGGTCACAGCAGAACAGAGGAGGGGAGTTTAGAATAACACTGGCAAGAACCGGGTGGCAAATGAAATCTGCTATCTGCAAACCCTGAATTAAAAGCATGTAAAATCTGACAAAGAAAGATAAGATTTAATTATTTGCACATAAAATCATCAGAATCCCACATGATTCTGCAGCCACTATTTGATCTTGTCTATATAAAACAGAGTAAGCTTCAAAAACAGAGCTAGGAAACGTTCATATAAATCTTCCCCTATGTTACTTAAGCACAGGCAAGCACACCTGACCAGCTTAATAAACCCTCACAAATGACAGGTATTTCATATGAAAAGCCAGTGCAGCACAGTTTTACTGAAATCTTTGACTTGTTGCAACACCCAGACTGGGAGCTGAGTAAGCACAACCAGCTGGTTACTAAGAGTGGATCACCTGCTCTCCACCACTCCCTTCCCATGTAACGGTGGGAGCAAGATCTTGATTTTAACTCCCCAATACAAGAAAAATACTGTGAAACCTTGGGGGAGGCAGTGGACAGAACAATAGACAGAATGTCAGGACAAGACACACTGATCAGCAATTTGGAAAACAAGACTAATCTTAACCATCATAACCACTTCAAATGAAAAAGCAAGGGCAGAAACCCAGCTACCCAGTTAGCTTCTTTTGCAGGTTCTTGTTAGAGAACATTATGCCCTCTTAATTGTTTCAAAGGTCCTGCAGACGCAGAGGAATCCCACTGACTGGCCAAGGAAATATGAACTATCTATACAAAAAATACAACATCAAAGAAATAAAATTGTTCAGTCTTCTGGGAAGTTTTAATGCCATCTGGGACAAATGTACTTGAAAAGTTTGAGGGAATCATTATTTAAAACTGATTCTCCGCTTCTAGCATTTGCTATTTTACATAACAAAAATTGTGAAAAAGGTATACTATGACAGGCGATACTGCTTCATTTTCTCAGAAATGAAACTGAACACAGAGGTAACTCAAACACAACTGTTTCAAATAATGGGATATCACTGCATTTCAATACTCAGAGGGTGAAAAAAAAAAAGCAACTAAAAAAACAAAAAAAACCACCAAAAACCAAAAAACCAAACCCAGCGATGTGGTATTTGACAACACAAGAACCTTTACGGTCTAATAAAGTGTACGAAGTCTTATGCCTGCACACTTATTTTTTCCATCTGAACAATATTCAGTGACAAACTCAACAAAAATAAAATACAGGAGGCAAGAAAGTGCCAAAGAAAATGTTCCTTCCAGCTTGAAGCACTTTGAGGTACTGTCCTTCAACTGAAACTTGAAGAAAACCCAGTGAAAAGCAGCATCATGAAAATGTGAGAAGGAAACAGTGCTGGGCTTAGCCAGGAATCCCACCTCCAGCCTCTGTAAGCCAGCTAGATGTTTTTAAACTGGCAACACAAGATTCAGACAGCAAGTGAATGCTATTCACTGGGAATTAGTCTGCATCATAAAGTTACACCAATAAAGCAACTGGAATATAGGTTAGTACCGGGATAGGTAAGCTGGTAATATTTCCTCCCCAGTCTTCTTGCTACAAAATATCCTACACAGTGTCCCGCATGCCTCTGCCCTTCCTGCTTCATAGTTGTCTGGGAATTCACTTGCATCAAACATGGGGTTGGAAGCCATAGTGTCAGTGGACATTTGGGATCCTTTCCGGCGGAACTCCACACTAGCCTGCGTTGCTATAGCTGGGAAGAGAAAAAACAGCGTTTCACTGTGTGTGATAATGTACAGAATAGGCTCATGGGATCCTGGACACAAAGATCAAGTCCAATTTAGTAGTTAATATGAAGCTATTAGTTCACTGCATTTGAGCCAGTGCCTCTGTTTAGGAAATATTTGTGGGTGTACCTAACTTGTTTACTTCATAAGGATGACAACAACTGACCTTCATATCCTAGAGACTGTCCCAACTTTTTGCCGGGAAGAGAGCACTTATATCCAATACTAGTTTCCTATCCTCTCTCAAAGGGCAAGGATCTGCCTCATCTGGTTCTGGCCCTCACAAAAATGAAATGCCACCTTCCCTTGCTCTCTTAAAAAACAACAAAAAAATTTTTGATGGTGCCATTACTATTGACCTCCAAGGAAGTGCTTCGCTTCCAGCCTGCCAACTCATCTCATGCTGCCCTGAATACCCAGCGGCTTTCATCCAGTTTTGTTGTACAAAGATACTTATTAAAAAATAATCAAAAATTTTAATGCACCGTATGACAAAGAGAAGGTTGTGGAATCCCATTCTCCTAATTTGGTCCCTCTCCTCACACGATCACTAAAACTGCCAAATAAATTACAGAGCCTCCATAGAGCAGCTACCATGGGTTGGGCATCTCCTGTTCCCTTATCCTACAAGAAGCTCTATGACCCTCTCAGAGGGTCCTGACCTGGTTCTGCCCAGCTCTGTGCTCCCTCCCTGCAGGCCAGTTCTGCCAGTCCGCACCACTCCAATCCATGTCTTTCTGGAGAGATTTCTGGTCTCCCTTTCACACACCAGCATTGTGTGGATACAAGACTACTTGCTCTGTTGCCTACATCCTGTCTTCCAGGATAGCTACCAAAACAAAATATATACTACACTCAATGTCATTTTTTTTCAATTGTTTTTCCTCTTCCTTGGACAGCTTTGCTCTAGGATTACTAACACCTTAAAGAGTGTGTTCTTGTTTTCAGCTAAGACTAGATGGTTTTCCAAAACTTTTATAAACTACAAAAGCAAACAGCAGACAAAGTGTATTCCTGACATAATTACACCTATGTGTTTCTACCAGCAAAAGAGAACTTCTCCTGTCTCAGCTCTGGGACACTGGGGAACAGCAGGTTCACAGTCAGCTTTGCAAACAAAGGCATGTTAACACTTTAGCAGTTGGAATACCAATAATTTACAGATAGGGTGCTTTTTTGTTTTGTTTTAAAGGAAATGTCTTAATGACAAGTGCCTACTCCTAATTTTTTGCTCTGAAATTTATCGTTTAACCTATGTTTACCTCATAAATTTTCATTGGCGTTAAGTAGAAAATAAGTACAAATCTTTATGCATCTTCCCATGAGCCATTTTTTGTCCTAAATAAGCTATCCAGCAATATACTGTAGTTGGAAAAAAACACTACATGCACAATGCATACAAATCAAACACTAGGTCTGTAAAATAAGCTTTAAGTAAAAAAAACATGGTTAGTGCAAAGTCCTGAAATTCATGACATGATCACAGACTAAAGTACAGAAAAGATGGGTCTGATTCAGGCAGATTAATTCGCTTTTGCCAACAATCCTCCCCATTCAAAAACACACACAAAAAAAAATTACTTGTCTTTTTCAAGTAAAAGTGCAAAAGCTACAAGAGACAATGAGAATGAATTTACAAATAAAATATGGGATTATGGAAAAAGAAAAGCATGACCGCAATTAAGGAAAATCTACTAGTTCCTACTTACAAGATTTATAAGAAAGAAGAATTTGGATAAAAGATGCTGCAAGATAATAGAAATAAAATGGAAACAAATCAAAGGACAGCAGTAGTTATAAAATACTTTTAAGATGGTGAAATTGTAATATAAGTTAAGAAGCTTTTAGCTTTCTAAAAAATAGATTAAAAGCTTTATGATACAGCAAGCTTGTTAAACACATAGAAAATTGGCATACAGGTCCAAAATTATGGTTTTGAAAGTATCATGCAAAACAATGAACAAAAAGTTACAAAATACTACTAAAATTTAGAGCTGTTCATATCAAGAGACACCAGTTCTTTAACAGAAGGTACTAACCCTTGTCAGCTCACAGACCTGTCCCCATGCTGCAGTGCACTGGAGCATACACCAGGCTATCCTAAGGCTCCTCTGAAATGGAGGGTGTCTTGCAGAGGGAAAATTACTTACCTGCAACCTCCTCACAGCAGCACTCCTCCTTCCAAACCAGGAGTTCTCAATGGTAGTACAGCTCCTATTTCCCTAAGCAAGTTGCTAACAACCAGAATACCTGAGCATGCCTCCCCTGACCACCAGCTTCATTAACAATCTTCCAAAGCAGAAACAAAACGCAGAACACTCCCAAAAACATTAACATCTCAAACAATGCCCAGAGAAAGAAGAGAGTAAGAACTCCAGCAGCCAGGTACTATCCACCATCAGGGGAGAGCTACTTATCTGAACAGGAAGGGTCAGACCTGTGACCAAGCCCCTCAGCAGCACTCACTATGATCCCAGACAGGTCTGTTTAGAATTTTCTTCTAGAGCCCCAGAAACATTCTGTGGGACATTAATGACATTAGGGCCAGAAGAGGTGAGGGTAATGATGTAGCCCAAGGCTCCACAACCGCAAACAGCCCCAGGGCAATACCAGCAAGCCCTGAGGTGTGTCCTTCAGCTGCTATAAAGTGCAGAGCTGACATCCTTTAGGTACAAGGATTGAGAATGAGCCCATCAGATTGGAAGATGCAGTTGCTGAAATGCTGGCACAAAGTGCTGGTGAGCCTCTCCCCACTCTCAGAGGCTGAGGACAGTAGGTAGCAGTAGCATGCACTGTACAGTCAAGCTTGTCTGAAACACATCCTGCCATTGAACCTGCCCTGGCACAGATACACACACCAAACTGTCATTCTCGGGTTACCCTCATAGAGGCTCTGTAGCCAATTTTTTATGAAGGTGTTATTTATCATAGGGATCTATTTATCCCACACTATCAGCTACATAAATGCCACACGCCCATCTAATTCTAACAACTACACCAGCAGGACCCAGCTGCTTTCAAACCACCTAGGCATCTTTCAACCAGCCATTTTTACTCTCTCACCACAACACAGAGATGTTTATCAGCTGCCCACCAAAAGGCTTCGCCAATAAAGTCTGTGTGCAGAAACTAAAACCTGATAAGGACACTCAAGACCCAAAAGTGCCATGCCAATCATGGCAAGATCATTGCTCTGCTTCAGAATCCGAACAATGACACAGGACTACCTTGAAGGACAGGGCTCAAAGAGCAAAGAGGACAACTGCTTTCCAGGTGATAAGCTCCACCAGCAGCAAACTGTATACAGATGACTTCCAGCTAATCTTAAGAGAGAACAATTCTCTCTTCCCAAAGACAGACAAAATCAGAACAATCACAAATGTGGAATACCTACAGTTTTCCACTCAAGAGTTGGTACAAGGAGTTTACCCATGAGATGACAAAAAATTGAAAATCCGTGAAGCAGCAGTTAACCTGAGAGAATCAGGAGAGTTGAGGCTGAGGGGGCCTCTGGAGACAGTCAGCTCTCCCCTGCAAAGCAGGGCCAAGTACAGGAAGTTTAGTTACCCTTCTACACATCTAGACAGTTTTTTATCTCAAGACTTACAAAAAGTTTGACATTTTTTCCACCCATTTTTTTTCATTACTTCCCTTCTGGAGGTGAAAGAGTTCCAGTGGGAAAAGGTGAGATCTTGGGACAAGGGAAAAAGGAAGGGTGGAGGGGTAGTCATTCACATCAGTCTTGATCAAGTGCACTTTATTTCATAGCGCTCATCAAAAAAGTGTGCAGTAAGATGGGACAAGAACAATGTGTGTCAGCAGGATTTGTTTAAAAGAACCAAACTAAATTCTGAACTAGAGCTTGAGACCACAGCTCATCCACAGGGCCCCTGGAAGGCACTGCACTGAGCTCATTAATCTCTCTGGTAATCACATCACAGGGATTCTCACTGAGACTGTGCCACGTGACAGGAGAGGAGAGAGAAACACACACTAAAAAATGCAGTGTTCCAGAAGTGCCCCAAGGCACAGAGGTCTCTAAAGGACCAAGGAGCAAGTTGTAACACTTCCGCAAAATGGTTCTGAGTCCTCCAGCCAGTAATGTAACAAAGAAGCCATATCAGTCAGCCAAAAGAGAAAGAATTCTTAACTGCATGGCATTGAAACAAAGTAAATATTAGAAGGGTTTAAAGCTGCTGAGTTCTTACACAGCTGCAGTTCCAGACTTAAAGAAAAATAGTGTGTGTGGGCCAGTGGAAGACAATACAATACATGGCAAAGCTGATTTTTAGTGCAGACAATTCCCAATCAAAACATTTGAAGCACTCATAAAAAAAACAGTGCTTCTTGAAGCTAATGCTAAGAATATCAACAGCAGTGTCAGACATGGGAAGAACATTCCAGGTAGTAGTTGAAGTGTCATGGCTACAAAGGATAGCAGATGGACCAAAACATACAGGAACAGCCAAACTGGAGCTGTAAAGCATCAGATTTATTCTGGACATCTTTCCTAAGAGTAGGGACTGTGGCAGATAACTGTCCCTTCTCTACTGGTCCTCCTCCTCCAAGCTGCATCTACACTGGGCAGCAGGAGCAGAGGGATGGGCACAATGTGCAGATCTGATTGTCACTGATGAGTCCCACTTCTGCCATGGGGGGGGCCTTAATACAGACCCCTCCTGGCCCACTCATCAGCCAGCATAGCACCTCTTGCCCTATGCTCTTCAGGGAGGAAAAGATGTCACTTGGAGGCATCAGGCATCACAGGTCAGATTCCCAGAATAAAAAGTTCATTATGTGGATTTAAACCTCTTTCAAAAGACACTGATGCTTCAAGCAGAAACTCCAGGGGCCTGGCCCTTTATGCATCTTACTCATTCTCCCACCTTCAGCAGAGGCTGAGCAAAATAATAAATCAGGCAATCAGAGTTTGGGGCCTCTCTACAGCGTTTCAGAAATAGGGGTCCACACTCAGCTCTCTCTCCTTCAGCCAGCCCATCTTGGCACCACCGTGACCAGTGATCTTACCTAGCAGTAACAACACCCTGCAAGGGCAGCAGACACTTGACTAAATTCCTGTAAGTTAATTCTGTCTTCCAAATTGCTAAAAGAGCAGAACATGACACAGCTAGGTTCCTGGGAGTCCACCAACATCTTGTGTCAGAGCCACTGCTGCTAATACACAGCAGATCATGTGTAAAGATGTGCAAAGACTGGTCTCGCTACAGACAGCTTGGAAGAGCACAGAGGAGGAACAGAATTCACTCAATTCCAAACAGCTGTCTCCAGTTTTCAGAAAGTCAGTAAATATCCCTGTAAGACTAGTAACACAACAACTTTCTGATTGCTTTTAGGTGATTTAAGACATTGCATATATGAACAGAAGGCCTTGTAACCCCTTCAAGGAAATGAAGCCTTTGGATTACGGATGACTGTGTACTTCTGCCAGCAAAACAACATTTCTGTTTAAAGCTGACACTTTCGTATAAGCACCATCTAAGCTGAAATCCTTCCTTTACAGGTTAAGCATTTCATTTAAATCGCTCAAAAAACAGGTTATATGTCAAATTTTAAATGATCTAATCAATCTGAAAAGCACTAAATGTAGTAATACACTAAATGCATCTGTAACCCAACACACCCTCAAAGGATGCCTTGCTCCCTCCTAAGCTCAGCTGTTTCCCCACTCATGAATGACAGGCCTTTTACAAAGAGATTCCGAACTCCCACCACAGATACCCATAAAGAACACTTGCAAAAAATGATGTGCTACACACCTAGAAACACCTTTAGAAGATCCCAAAACCTAAGCATTCACACAGGAATTTGACACAATAAACAAGGAAGAGGACTAGTTTAACTGCTGTTGTCAAGTCCCACCATACATCCAACTTACTATAACAAATGCTTTTCCCCTCTTTTCCTTAGGCCAGTGAGTTACTGATAGATTAATTAATAGATCTCTCCGAAAAGTTAGCAGACTTTCAAAATACACAAGGAACAGGAAAACTGCAGGGAGTGAGAAAGATTATTCTTTTCTGAATATTATCACCAAAAGTAAGATAAGAGCTAAAAAGTCTCTCTGAGCAGAGCACTAATTCTGTTATGATATCCCAAAACATCTAACCTCTGCAGCTGAGCAAAGCTGAGAGCCAAAATAAGTTTGGCAGTTAAGGGTTGAAGACAACGAAGATGTGAAGACATTAAGGGAAGCACACAGCAATCATAACTGACAGGCAGCAAGTTCACTAGCTATTTTAAGGACTTCTGTTTCCATAACACTCTACAAAACCAAGAAGTACTGCTTTGTGCACTATGTGGAGTAATATAGGACAATTTTTCAAATATTAAAGAGTTGATGTAAATAATTGCTATTAATCATAGATAATCAAGCAGATTTCAAACTAAGAAGTGGACTCCTACCATATGATTTCCTTCACTTAACAGCATTTTCCCCAATATCATAATTGCAAGTGCCATGCTTGTTAGAGCAAAGGAGTATTTCATAGTAAAAAAGTGGACTTTTTTAAAGCTTTGAAATCCCCAAACAGCTGCTCAGCTGATAGCAGATGCTGGCTCAGCTCAAGGGATTAATTACAACAAAGCACTTCAGATTTTACTTTTTTTTGGATTATGCATGTGTTAATCTTGAAGGTAGGAAATGTCAAGAAAACAAGGAAAAAAGTATGCATATATTTTTTGTAATATTTACCAGTCATGCTGCTGTCTCGGTTTATTCCATTATGAAGTTTACAGTGAACAAATGCTGCATCAAACAACCATGATCCAAAGAGGTTCAAGATGCTGTTAACCTTTGGCCTGCGAGGAGCTGGCAGCGGCCGAGGCTCAGAGCTTGTCTGGTTTGGGCTAGAGAGTGGAGAAGTAGAAGAGGGTTGGTGCTGCACTTTTGAAGCATGTGCAGTAGTTACCTGTTTGAACAGAAGAACAGATCAGCTCCTAGAATCAAGAAAAGAATCCACAGGGTCAGCTACTCCAACACAGAGTATGAAATCTTACAGTGCTGGTTTTCATGGTCACTTTGTTGACGGTCACTGCGCGGTGCCGCCGGTTGTGGGGCGGAGTGGTGTTGGTAGCGGTGCTCTGGGGCATGCTCAGCCTGTTCACTGGCGTGGGCGGTGCGCTGTCTGCCCGGGGTCGGGAAATGCCTGCAAGGCCAGGAATAAAGCAGGCCTTCAGCAACAACTCCATGGGCTCACACACGGCAGTTAGTAGGCACAGGAGCCTCTGGTCAATAGCCATGCCTCCCATGTTCCCCAAAACCGCAGTAGCGACAAAAACACCTCTCCCTATTTTACTGTTAGCAGAAATAAATGCGCAAGCAAATAGAAACAGTAATTATGTCAGATAAGCAATTGATTAAAAAACACCAAAGGACCCATCTGCACCAATGGCAGATGGGAAGAATCAGACTAGAAGCAGGCAGAGGGAAAGGAGCAAGGTTCATTTGCCAAAGACAACTTCACAGCTCATTTCTGCCAAAATTCAGGTGCCTCTCACCTTTGCCTTTCTTTCCCAATCATAACTCCCACACCTTTTTCTGAGACATCTCTAAGATGTCTGGCCCTTAAAGCCATCTTAGCTCACTACATTACGATGAAACCCATCCACCACACAGCTTTCTGCTCGGTTTGAGCTGGACTGGCTGCTGAACAGTCAAATACAAAGGCAGTACACAAGACAGAGTAAGAAAGCACAGCAAACTATAATTTTTCTGGCAGCAGCAGGACATGAGATCAGTTTTTAATCCAGCTTCAGGGAAATTCATGGTGTACAGAGCTCCTCCCCATCATAATCAGAAGCAACTCAACATCTGCAATACTTGAAGTGACAAACACCATTTTTGCCCATTTTAATGAATTCCAACAACCTTGTGCCCCATTTGCAAAATGAAGTGGGGAACCACAGTGTGCTTGGGAATTTGACACAGATTTTTTTTTGACCCTGTTAATTAAAGCACCCAAGTACTTCTCATAACACATTATAGAACAATTTGCTCCTGCAAAATCATCAGTGTTACAGCCCAGGCAGAGTATGCACTATGAAACCTATTGTTTTGGCACATTTGGCTGAAAAAGAGGACGTACTATTTTGCCAAACACATCATGTAGGTACCAGGGAGAGGAAGATAAAACCCAATGTTTCGGCACTTGTGACAGAAGGTAATGAGCTCTCCCATCAGCCTTCTCTGAGGATCTTTCTGCAGCTCTCAAGTCTGCCTGAGCACACTCTCCCAATCCATACCTACAGCCTGAATTCAATTTTCTAAAAGAAATCTCCTGTGCCCCAATGCATTGTAGTCTCCATCTCTGCACTCCAGATAGGCTACTATCACTCTGGGTGCTTTATCTTGCTACAAGATCTTCAGAAGTCTTAAGTGCCTGATTCATAAAACCACAGATTAGTTTGGGTTCAAAGGGACCTTAAAGACCCTCCATTCCATCCCAGTCACAGGCACGGACACCTCCACTAGACAACCTTCTTCTGAGTCCAGTCCAACCTGACCTTGGGCACTGCCAGGGATCCAGGGGCAGCCACAGCTCCTCTGGGCACCCTGTGCCAGGGCCTCATGAACCCTCACAGGGAAGAATTTCTTCCCAACATCCAGTCTAACCCTGTGTTCTCTGCCCCCAGAGCCTGCTCTTCTCCAGGCTGATGGTCTCATTCCACCAGCAGATTTTTTCTAATACTGTTTATATATCTGCTCTAGTCTCCTGCAATCTCTCATCAGCTCACACTTACGGCAGATGACATTTGTTTGCACACATTTAAGCAGAAAAGCGGGTAGAGAAAAGCAGCTCTTCCAAGTTTACAAGAGCATGTATTCCCTGAAGAACTTTCAGTAAGTCTGAAGCATACCAAGTATAATGCTTCAAATTTCAGGTACTCCATATTGTCACTTAAAACTGACCAGCTAGAGCTACTCAGTTACCAGCAGACACAAAGAAACACATCTTTTCTACTCAGCAGTAGTAGTAAGCCACTAACTGTATACTAAGGGGAACTTCAAAAGATCTGAAGATGACAGTCCAAACTCAACACCTTACAAAACAGGCACACAGCAGTTGCCACAAAGATTAGAAACACGGTGGTGAGTGCTCACAACATGCTAAAGCATAGCACTTGCACTGGTGATTAGATGGAAAGAGAAAAGAAGCCTTGTTTGGGAAAGAGATCCCTGGTTTTATTTTATATTTCTGATTTATTTGTTTTGCATCTGAAACTAAGGCTATCTACAACTTCATGCATTCAAATGTTACTGTTGTGAATACAGATTTTTTTAGAGGTGATCTCAAGTCTCCTCCTCATCAATTCCAGGATATACTTGCAAAAGATTGTTATTCATGTATTTACAAAAAAACAGATTTAAAGATACTAAAATAATTATTAAATTGATATTTCTAGCAATCCATGGGCAAGACAAAAGCATTACCTAGGAACGCATCCACTAAACAGCTGATTCCACGCATGGCACGAAAGAATATTTGAGGCAGATGTTTAAGGCAGGGGTACTGATTCAGTTCTTGAGTCATCCCACTCACATTCAGAAACTGCTCCTGAAATCTGGGGGTAGAGCTAATAATGGCTGGGTTACTCAAATCCACAGGATTACTGCACAGAAAAACAGCAAAATATATGTTAGTCAGTTTAAGAACAGCTGTTAAGATTTAAAACCACTTGAAGATGCAGTAGTTTAAGGCATTCAGGTAACACCACAAACCAGCATCCAACATCAATACATTTTAGCCTCTCATCACAGGAAGGTAATTGTCTCTTCCTGGGCTGGCAGTATACAGCTGTCTTAATGTCAAACATTACCCAAACATATTGAACAATCATAGTAAAATAAAACAAACCAGATCACACACTTGCCAGACTAATTATTGCAGAAACAATAATTACTTATGATGTCTTTTGAGCCCAGTGAAGAGTTGTTTATATTGTTAAAGTTATAAGTGTAAGCAACAAATTAAATACTGTCAAACAGTGTCAAGAAGGGAAGGAAATTGTAAAGTTTGAGCAATTTTTCCTGACTGACTCAAAATCCTGAAACAGCAAATTTGTAAACTCCAAATTTGAAGAGTACGGTACTTGTGACATTTGTACTATAAATGAAGAAAGAGGGTTTTTTAGTCAGTTAAGAAGTAAATTTCAAACAGCCTAATGTTTATCTAGTTTTAGCTACTAAATAGTATTTAGTATCAATTTTTTAATATTCTGGCCATTGAGATCATTAATGTAATGCCATGTCCAAGAGTCTGTAAAACAAAACACAGCATTTGGTTCAGCTGTGCATTTAAAATTAACATGTATGGTAAAATTAAATGTATAGATTTCTTCATAAAAATAAATATATAAACACTCATTTTAAAAATAAATTGTAAGTTAAATTTAACCTGGAGAATAAATGAAAGTCGTAAGCATCTCCCAGATCTATTGTTCAGCTTTTCCTGTTTGTTATCACAGAGAAACAAAATTCTATTGAACTCTTGTTTTTCAGATCCTCCAAAATGCCAAATTGCTAAAATAGATTTTAATTAACTGAACCAGTTTACATTTTGAAAGAGTCAGAATTCAAACCTGAACACCACTCACAGCCTGCCCTGAGCTGCTTCATGGGCACTGGCACAAGTCTCTCATTTAATTCTATTTAGGTGCTTAATCTTGGCAATCTCCAGAGAAATGTTTTGTTTATCATGCAAACATATGGAGTTGATTCAAGACCAGGAACAATGGATGGCTGTAATTACAATACCTCAGCATATGTAAAAAGCGAAACCACGTTTGTGCAACGCACTCATTATCCATTTCAAGGGGAATCAGACCAGCATCTTCATCGGGAATTTTGAATGGAGGAAATGAAGGTCCATATGTAAAACGCAGCAACCTAGAAAGCAAGTCAGACAGACCTGGCTCAAAAACTGAACATTGCCTTTGCACCCCAAAGGCATCAGCAGCCCACAGGCGAGTCCACAGGCAACAATGCAACACCCCAAGTTTCAAGTTTTCCTAGAGATGCCATTTTATACAATCTCTCAGCCTTGGATAGTGTGCACCTGGAACCTGCGTAAAACTCCAGCCAAACCCGAAAGCTATTAAGGCACAAGACCCCTCAGCAGCTCTCCCATCACTTAGCCAGAGGGGTCATCAGTTATCACAGCCACATGTACATCTGACAGGATGCTGCATGTGAAGGAAGAAGGAATTTTTTTTTTTAAAGAAGGAATTGAAGCCCTTATCCTCACAGCTCTTTAGCTCAAGCTTTCAACGACACCAGCAAGTCATATTAGGTTGCAGCTCTAAATTCCAGCTCATGACTGATGACCTACACTGTACCTCAGCACCCGGTGCAGTACTCACTGTTGACCTACAAGCAGCACAGGACTTGCAAGCCACAGTTCAGTGAGTTCTTCAAAACACATGGCACCACATCTGCCAGAGGCTAGGATCTACAGACCAGCAAAGAGCAAAACAGTGATCCAGTACCATAAAGACAGTGCTTAGAAGTGCTGGAAGTACCCAAAGAATCACCAGTGACCTTCACTGAGGTCCTGCTTCTAATCTGACCCTGCTTCATATCCAGCTTCACCAAATTACAGTTCAATTTCCCTGATAAATACAATCTTGATGTTTTCTAAAGGAATGGAAGAGATCTGCACTGCACCTTCTCAATATCACACCATTCCCAGAAATCAGTTTGTGTTTCCCTAAGCTAACTTCCTTGCAATAGTCAGGAAATGTCGCACTCATCCTTACTTATAAAGCCATATAGTTTCCTGAAGTCATTACAACTAGGAGAAGAGAAGGAGTAAAGTAGTTATAACTGACTCCAAAACCAAAAGTCAAACAGGCTGAATTTCCATCTGCCACTTCTCCCAGCAGTGGGTACTACAGTAACCAGCAGCCAGTTAATACAAGTGTCTGAAATCAGAGCCTATTTACAGTACCTAACCTGGACAGAAAAGCAAAAGAGCTTTAGGACATGAGGCCTTCTCCAGATGCAAGGATGATGAGGAATCCATTCAGTGCCAGAGCTGGTGGTGCAGCTGCAGGGACAGCTGCAGATTGAACTCCCTCAAGGGAGGCTGGGAAATGCCAACCCTGTGCATAATAAAGGGCGCTGGATTTGTGGCCCAGCCAGGTGCTCAGACAATGCAAGAGCTGAGGACTAGGGAGGAAGAGCCAAGACTTGCACAAGCTTGGACTGTGAGGGGATAAAAGCCCAGGAGTCTTTTGTTGGGCTGCTCCTTGGAGGCACCAGCTCAAGCTGTTTTTCTGTGACTGTGCTAGGAGAAGGGTTTTATGGAACAAGACATCTGAGACTCCCATGGGAAACCTGGGGTTGAACTGGTGAGAAAGCTGGTGTGCCTGTGAGAGTGGAGAGTGCAGGGGGTCAAGCAGGGCAGGCCTCAGGTCACTGGAGCTGCTGCTGCTGCAAAGGGGCTTCAGTGCCAGCAGTTAAAGTCACTGGTGGTGGAGGAGTGACTGCCAGAGAGTCTTGGGAATGGGTCAGACTGGGAAGTTCCCTTCAAACCAGAAATTCACACAGCTATAACAGGCAGCAAATGCTCTCCAGCCCTGTGTCCACCAGCATTTAGTGCCCAGAGGCGTGACCTCATGGTATAGTTTTGCTGAGGAATTACCTGGCTCTAAAAGACCCAAAAGAGCCTGGCCCAATCCCATGCACCATCATGCCTCACACTACTGCCTGGCAAGACAGTGCACTGCTTCGTTTCTCCCTATGACTGCAAGAAACCAGTTTTTCAAAGAGCATGACCAAATCTTTAATGACATGTGGGACATTTTCAAGAATGATTGAAGACAAAAATAAATTTTAAACCGCACATCCAAGACAGTTTAAATATATTTAAAGCAATCTAGATAGGGTAGATGTAGTATGTATTAGCATGGCAATACAATTGAGACTTCAGTTTCATCCTGCTAAAAATCATAGCCAGGGACACAAATTAACACTGCTTATGTGTACATATTTCCAAATATAATTTTCCATATGGTTTTAATTTGAAACATTTACTTTCAGCTTATTGCTAATAACCTGATTCACAGAATTGTTTACTAAAACATTGTAACCGTTTGAAGCTGGAGCTTCATTGAAAGATTAAAAATTCAGCTAAAAATACTACTGAACTTAAAGCCAGCCTCAGAAGAGCCTGGGCTTCCATGTATCAGGCATAAACCAACATTACTGAACACAAACTAAAACATTCCAGAAACCCTGCATACTCCTGTGCACCAACAGAACCAAGACTGTTAGTCAACAGTGGGAGAGGAAGTGTAGGCACAGTGTGTGGTGCAGAACACCAACACATGTTTTGAGACAGAGCTGTTCTTTTCAGATCACTGAATCATAAAGTATTTTCCGTTATGTAATGCTACATCTAACAAGCTAAAAATAGCTGAAGAAATAGCGTGGGAAATACACAGAACTCGTATTGCAGCTTTATTTCCCAGGGGTTTAACAAATAGCTGCATAACCTGGAAAAATCTATCCACACTTCACATTTTGACAGGTAATTCAAAGGAAAAGTTTTCAAAGTTATAATAAACCATTGCAGAAAAAGACACTATTGAATATTTCACAATGCAGCAATTTTAACACATCTTGGAACTTTCACAGAAATAAGTTACTGATATTTCAGGAGAGCTGGAAGGAGACCCAGATGACTCTCTTCCAAGCAATTAATTCAGTTCTTTCCTCCAAGAGTCTGAGATTCATCCCACAAAGACTTCACACCAAAAAGACCTCAATATTAAGGGTACTGAAACTCTCCTCACTGTTCAAAACCTTCTATTACAGCCAAAACTCTCCTGCAACCCCCAGATGTGAGCATTCCTTTGGTCAGTTTGCAGGTCACACTGATGTGGGCAGGAGCTGACCTACTGAAGGATAGGAAGGATCTCTAGAGGGATTTGGGCAGGCTGGATCAAGGGGCTGAAGCCACTCCATTACGTTCAAGAAGGCAAAATGGCAGGCCCTTGGTTCACAACAACCCCAAAGCTACAGGTTTAGGGCAGAGTGGCTGCAAAATGCCCAGCAGGAAAGGCCCTGGGGGTGCTGCTCAACAGCAGCTACACAAGAGCCTGGTGTGCCCAGGTGGGCAAGGGGCCAATGACACCTGGCCTGCACCAGCCATGGGGGGCAGCAGGACCAGGGCAGTGACTGTCACCTGTGCTGGGCACTGCTCAGGCACCTCCAATCCTGGGGACAGCTTTGGGCCCCTCATGGCAAGAAAGGCACTGAGGGACTGGAGCATATCTAGAGAAGGGAACAGGGCAGGGGAAGGGGCTGGAGCACCAGGAGCAGCTGAGAGAGCTGGGAGGGCTCAGCCTGGAGAAAAGGAGACTCAGAGGGGACGTTCTCCTTCTCTACAACTACATGAAAGGAGACCAGAGCCACCAGAGGGTTGGCGTCTTCTCTCAGGTAACAAGGGCCAGGACATGGGGAAATGCCCTTAGGTTGTGCCAGGGGAAGTTCAGATGGGATGGAAAATTTGTCAGGCACTGGCACAGGTTACCCAGGGCAGTGGTGGAGTCACCAAAGGGTTTTAAAAGACTTGTGGATGTGGCGATTGGGAACAAGGGTTAGTGGTGGGCCTAGTAGCGCTGGGTGCATGGTTGGATTTGATGATCTTAAAGGTCTTTTCCACCCTAAACAATTCTATCATATATGATCCTCACTGTTCCCATACCCAGCAAGGCTCAGGATAGCTCTTCTCCCCAGCTCTCTAGAGCAGAGAGCCTGTGGTCTGCCTCTGGCCCATCACATCCTCACTGCCAGGGAACAAGTGCCAGGCAGCTGTAACACAGTTTCAGCTCCACAGGGTCCAAGCAGAGTCCAAGAGTCACCTCAAACCCAGCAGCATGAGCACTAACAAGCACCTAATAATTTTGATGCTGACACACACACATAATGCCATACTAATATTCTTGAGTCACTCCTCAAGGGATATGATGAAGAGTCACAACCATGAAGACTAATACACACACACGCAGTAAGGTGCCAAATATCACAGAGGTGCTATGCTTACACAAAAACAGAGAATCCAACTCAGATCTCCCCTTGCAGAACAAAGGAACACCCACAAAATCCAAGGATAGAGCAAGATCTCTCACTTTGTATTGCTTATTCACTTTTGGATTGCTGCACGTTCCACAAATAAGCAACTCCAAAATATGTATAACCATGATTATCCCCATACATGCATTCATTTCCATGGGATTTCTCCTACCTGGAAGTAAGGGCACAAATGACCTTGCTCCACTGCTCAACTACTGCAGGATGATGTCGCCAGTTGGCCACCATCTCTTTGGCAGTTTTCCAGTACGGAGGTGTTGGAAAGCACCGCGTACAAGCCAGTAACCAGACCTCAAACAGCACGCCAATTAATTTTTCAGCCAGATTCTCAGCAATGCCACCTTGCAACAGAAACCAAGCACAACTTCAGTTAGTGTTCCATCTAAATAACTCCAAATATCTCCCCAAAGAGGTTTTAATTAAAGTGCATAAAGATTAAGCCCTTTCTTTCATAACTTTTAAGAATGATCCTTGATTGCTTCCTACAGCCAATTAGCCTTTTTGCAAGACCAAGTACAATAGATAAAGCCTAGCCACATGTGTGTAATAAGGGACAGAAGGAATCCACCAATCTTAGGCAGTCTTCTATTGCACTGTGTCTATACTGAAGTCTTTCTTTAAAGTAACTAACACTATTTTTTTGCACTAGGCAGGCTGAACAGCAAAACAAAGGAGTTTCAGTGAAACAAACAGGAAACAACAGTGTCTTAAACTGTTCATGTATAAAATCACTGTCTTTAAATACTTAAAGCAAAAATACTTTCAGGAAAACTCAGCTCCAAATCAGTCAGTCTTTTCTGGCAATGCTTTATTTTGGAGTAATGGAGCAGAATTAGGAGTGAGCTATTGCACTTTGGTAGCTCCTAAGAGCTTTTAAAAGGTTCCCCCATCCTGCTCACAGCTGAATGCAAAGAAGAGCCAGAAGTTTTTTAATAATTGAACCAAATGGAAGATGAACATGAACCTTGCACAGTTGGAGCTGCTAGAAGAGTGTCATTGATCTGAAGAAGAAATAATAACAAAACCTCCCAGGTTTCTCTTGCCATAATTGTTGACTCATGCGCCAGCTTCTGGACAGCTTTCAAAACCTGCAAGCACAGTCTGATCTGACTGGATCCCGGGTCTGGCCTGCAAGAGAAGAAAACAATGCTTCAGAAATAGAACTATTAAGTGATGTATTCAGTAACATGAAATTTCAGCATGTTCAACTTACAAAAGGAAACAAGTATTATTGAGTGAAACCCAAGAACACGAACCAATATGCTTCTGTGCATCCCAATTCTGTCTAGGCATCCTAACTCTGCCTTAATGAGCACAAGATGCACCGTAACGCTCTTTTCTACATGAGACTCAATACATAGAACAAGCACAATCCATCATCTCATATTTATCTTGGGCCAAACAACGACAATCTAGTTGCAACATCATGAATTATTACATACATAACTCAGAAGTGGCAAATTAGGAGAACATATTGTTAGCAAAATAATTTAAATTCTTCCTAGTTCTCCTGTTGTTTCCAAATCAACTCTTATCGCTTCTACCTTTAGTCTGATGTTCCTATTTAATGACCCCCTTCTAGATCTTCTGTAAGCAGTTAGAAGTAAGGAAGGAAGAAAGGAAACAGTTTTGTATTTCCTAGGTTTTTCCTGTAGTAATAATCAGCTCCACACTGGCACTGTCGAATCACTCAACACAAAGTTGCTCAGAAGGAGCACAAAGCAGCATCACCTCCTCCCATCAGTTGGTCTGGACAATGCAGAACAGGTACAAAACAGTAATGTGACACATTCTGGACAGTATCTGAGGACATTGGTAAAAAACCTTAGGAAGCCCAAATTTTAAAGGGTGAAAGAGGAGGTTAGAAATTAGAGTGTGCGGTAGGGCATATTTCAACCTGTGCATCATTTCATGATCCCTCCTACCACCACTGAAGAGACGACAAAAAAACCCATACAAGTATTATCTTCCACTGGTAAGTAGTATTACCAGATTCCTTCCAAACATTTTCAATGTGGTATAACCCACAAGTCATGTTGCATAGCAAGCACCTCGAGAACGTGCTGGTCCGCTAAAAACTATCAGCTTTTATCTTGATAGCATAATGTTGTATTACAGTACTGGAGAAAAAGATTACAAAGAGACAAGATAATGCCTAATGCATAATTGCACATTACTAGCCACAGTTGAGGACCTCAGTGAGTTGCTTAATATTAGTGCTAGATCATAACCCAGAGTCTCTGTAGAATAACAAACTTTGGGATAAGGGAACCCTGCCTTGCTTACACCACTATTTTTGCCTGAGCAACAACAGAGCAGATTGCTTCAGTTGAAAGGTATCCTTAAACAATATAGGCTTGAAGCTTCTTAGGCTGCTTCAAGACTTGTCTGCCTAATTATTTAGAGAAACTGTAAAAAACCAGGGCTTATATGCAAGCTAAAGGGATCCTTCTGTGCTGATCTTGTAAAGGCAACTCGAACATTCCTGTCCATTTATGACTTCCTCTTGTTTACAAAGCTGACCCAGTGGCAAGCTCTGCTTGCACTATTTCTAGAGTTCTAGATGTCTAGATTTCTACAGACTGTGGCCTTTTGGCCATACTCCTTCAGAAGTACTGTTCCCATGACTTCATATGAGAAGCATATGAAGTTATTACAAAGAAAAGTACTTTGGCAGTCACATGTTCCACAGTCTCTCAAGCAATTCCAGACATTTCTGTTGCAGAGAACCTGGATATCTGTACCACACTCTCCTGGAGAGGCAATAGAGGGGGAGAGAGTTCTCCTATTTCCTTCCAACAGTGTCTGTGGCACTGAAACTTTATCTGACAGCAGTAACAACCACTACTGCTTAAGTCATCTTCAAGACCTCTTGGATATTCTAGGGTTGCCAGAAATTGAAAGCCTGGGGGGTTGCCTGGTGACTATTCAAATACATCAACAAAGTGTTTGCTTCTTCAGAGTGGACAGAAGGCCAGTGCAGGAGGGAAGGAAGCAAACACCCTCTCTCCTGTCACTCCAGCAGATAGAGGAAAGCTAACTTGGCTCACCCAGCCTTCAGAGTTTTCTTTTTCAGCACCACACAATTTCAAGGACTGTGCATGCAAACATTTGATTCAGCTGAGCACTCAGACTAGAATATTCTATATGCACCTGCTCTGCAGGGGTGTACACAAGTTCCTGTGATGCCATTTACACTGAATTGCCCACTTCAGGCTGCTGTGTTTTGCACCTCACCCATATGTCACCATCTGAGTCTGATGCCTTCACAACTCTGGGCCACCAGTTTAAAGGCAGCCAAATCAATAGCTACATCATTGCCAGAGAACCAGAATGAGGAAGGAAGCTATTTTAATCACAGCCTTCCATAGGACATAGGATTATAATAAAGACTTAATATCTTCAACACAAGAACAGATTTTTCCAGGAGACAGTTCAATACAGGTTGCTGTAACACCTCCTGGTTAAGTATTCTACATGAGTCCATCAGCAGCAGCAACCTGCATCAATTGGGTAAACCCAGAAATCATTCTCCTCTTCCTCACCACAGACACCTAAGTCTGAATCTTTGCTTTTATTCAAGGTAGGTGTGCACAACTCAGTTCTATATTCCATTTGCAGTATAGAAATTTCTCATGTTGCTGGAGTGAATTCTGAACATAGCACCCTGGAGGGCAAAACTTAAAAAGAGAGTAGGGACTTGAATGTCAAGTGTTGATATCAACAGCCATGAAAAATCAGTGTTTCAGATACATCTCAGAGGCTCTTGAAAGAAAAACATACAGAACAGGTATACTACAGTACAGCTAATGATTTTTCAGCTCTAGGTCTTAACTAGTCTCTAGGTATTAACTATTTCATTCAACAACTATCACATGTAGTCTATCAGCCTACTTCAAGGTCCAACAATAATTTTGGGAGAGAAGGGTAAAGCGGAAGCTTGTGCCAACAGCACGCAAGAAACTGTACCACTGAGCTGCCTGCCACTGGGGTCCTGGTGTGAGAGCAAGCAAGGGATCACAGAAACAACTATTTAATGGACTAGTAAAGAATTTCTTCTCTGCTGTGCCAAGGCAATAAAGGATCCCAGACAGCAGACTGTATTCTGCACTAATTAAAGCTGAGAGACAACCTCCTGCCACAATCTAATCCAGAAGCTTGCTCTCCTCAGACTTGTGTCATTGCCTTGACCATGCTTTAATGGGAATGAGAATGCATTTTCACTACAAGTTAAGAGCAACAGCAGCTAAGAGTAGGTGACAGACTTCAAAGCAATCAATAAACAGCAGAGAACTCTGAATAGTAATTTGTGCAAATTCGAAGTCCTTCACAAACAAAGCCTTTAATAAAAGTGACCCAAGTGCAGCTGAGCACTTTGCAGGCCACCTGCAGTGACACATATTTAATACTGATAAAAGCAGATGATCTGATATTTACGGGCACATACTAAACACTGATCTGAAGTTAAGTACCTTTTCAGGGGATGCTATTCTTTAATCTTACTTATCCAGTACGTATGTCCAACAGCAGCAGGTAAACTTGCCATAAACTATAAATAAAGCAATGATGTTTGTGCACTCTGACAACATAGCTGTGTACAAGACCTAGAAACATGTCTATCTCTCAACACCATCATCCAAGGATGGCAGGCAGCAAGCACTCCACCACCAGGTTCTTTCAAAACTACCAGTGAAGGACAGTCAGCATAACCATGCTCATTTGACAGGCAGCAAGATGCAGGCACAGAGCAGTCACTTACTACAAAATCCTTCAGTAAATCACAAATGAGTCAAATCTTGACTAACAAGGGCAGGGACTATCATGATGTTCTCTTAGTTTATCTCAGTTTTACACAATGAAAAGCACATGGTCACACAGTGATGTGCTTCTGCTTTTCCCCTTGCCCTCCAGTCATACAATAGAGATAAATCTTGAACCTCTTGCAACAGTAAACATTAAAGTATATTAACTATATGTCATTCTAACCACAGCAGCAAAAACTCAATTTGCTACTGCAAAATTACAAGGCATTTGGAGAAACACCTTCCTCCTCAGTTTGCAGCACTAGCAGTCCTTTTTGACTCAAGAGTCTCCACACCTCATGAGTCCTCTGACAGGTTACCTGCTGAGCATAGCCTGGAATCCCTAACACTCACCTTGGTACAAAGAGGTTTTGGAGATGTTTGAGGATGCTTTGAACATAAAGGTTTGGTTCCTTAATAACAGGTAAAGGAATAGAGTCCTTAGGTAACACAAGAGCCATAATCCAATCTGTATACACATCCACACAGTATTTCACAGTGTCGCCGTCCAAAGGGAGGGTCAGTCCATAACAAACCACCTCCATAGTCCATTTTACCTAACAAACATAAAGCAAAAGTTATTAAAAATAAATATTGGTAAGTAAGTGCTGGTCAGAGTACATTAGTTCTAACTAAAAAAAAAAAAAAAAAAAAAAATAAAGCAACAGTAATTATGTTGTATGGGCAATTCTGTTCAACATATCCTGCAAGAAAATACCAAACCGTTAACTCATATATCATGATATTATGAAGAATAAATGGCAAAACACTCTCTAAATTCTGAATCTCTTAAATCCAAACTATAGAGAGCACTCTTGGGAACACACAAAAGCTGTTAGTAAAAGATTTTCAAATTCTAACAAATACTTGTACTATACAAAGACTTTTTTTTGAAGTTGCATACTGTTGCTTCAAAACTAAAGTAAGTAGAAAGGCTTTGTGTTAAATGCTAAATTCTTTGGGTTTGTTTTGAGGTTTTTTTGTTGGTTTTCTTTAGCCTGAATTTTGTGGTATAATAGCTCAGGCAAACATTTACTATTAAGACATGAAGTACACTGTTGCTATGATCTAGCTGCTAATAAAAACCCTATGGAGATCACTAAACTTAAAATGTAACACATTTCATAAAACTTGGGACAATAAAGAGAGAAAAATAAAAGAGGCCATAAAAAAACTATTAAATTGTCACTCCAGCATAAAGGAAACGATCATCTCCAAGGAAAGGCACTTACTTCTTTGTCTGTTTTCAGTAAACTCTCACTTCCAACAGATGATGTAATTAAAGCTTGTCCAAGAGGACGCACCACTGCATTTGCCACTTCTCTCCCCACATTCTCAGGATAGCTGTGAAGTACACTGGTATTCCCCTGATCATTTTGAATGACAAGATGCAAGGATCTCCACTCTGAGTACATAGTGCCTCTATGCTACAATCCAAACAACACCTGGGGGGGCAAGGAAGAAAAAAGAGACAATTAGTTTAAACATCTATGACATGAGTTAGCAAAACTGAGGCTATATATCACAATCCAGACCCTTGCAAATTCAAGATGCACATATACATTTCATACATTTCACAATCCAGAAGAGATTCCAACAGTTGTTCTTCAACCGTAGTATGTTTTTTTACACAGACAAGCTTTAACATAGGTTGATTACAGAGATTACAGCAAGTTTCAGTTCAGGACTAAATGCCTATTTTAGACACTTAAACCTGAGAAGTGATTTCACTTCACACTTATGCTTACACCATTTTTGCAGGAAAGCTGCTTCCATTCACACAACATCTTCAGGTAAGTAGAAAACAGTTCTACAAGTACTCTGCTCATGAAGCAATGGCTGCAATTCACCCTGTTCCCTTTTTCACCTCAACAGCAGTTAAAAAGAGACACTAGGAAACTTCCAGGAAAACCTTAGTCATCTGAGAAGACAAAAATTCAGCCTCTTTCATATTCATAAGGTATTTCTACTTCAGGTACTATTCAAAACTAGTAGCTGAAAGATGCAATTCAGTGATAATGAAGAGGGCCCTTTATTTGCAGCGAGTTCAGGACTGGCTGAGCCTTCGTGCACCACTAGCTTAAACTCAGCATCACTTTACAGTTTCATTACAGCACATATAGGTTCCAAATCTATGGAGTTGGGGTGCATTTCAAATCCTTGTAAAGTCAATACACACACAGAGTCACTCCATAAAAATCTACATTTGTCCCACAGATTCCAGACAGAAAAGCCACTAGGAAATTTCCCAGGCAGTGCTCTCAGAACTAGACACAGCTCTCCTTTCAGTAACTATCCCAGCACAACTGCAGTTACATATATCCCCTCACTGCCATTTGAGGGCAGGAAGCCAAGCTGACCGTGAACTAACCAGATTTTTGCAGTGAAACAAGCTTGGGATGGGTATTTTGGCATTGCTGTGAAACCTCAACCAAGAGAGGCAATTAGAAGCAGCAGAAGTTAAGCTGTGCTCCCACAGTCCATCTGCAGTCAGCAGCACTCTTGCGTCCTGAGCAGTGGCTCACGCTGCACCAGCAGCAGCACCAACACCTCTGTGCTGGGAGCCCTGGGAACGGGTGAGGAGAGGCAGCAGCAGCCATGGGACTGCACTGGGCAGCTCAGAGACACCCACCACACACAGCCAACTTTGATCCACACATCAAACACATCCAGAAATCTGATCTGACTCAGATGAGAAACATCTGTGCCAACACAGTTGTTTTGTGAGGAGAGCAGTGAGGATGCAGGGCCAGAGGGGTGGCAGGAACATCCCTCTGACAGCAGAGTGCTTTGTACAGGCTCACAACCACGTTAAACCACTGCTCAAGGAGGTGGCACCACAGCAGCCTGTGAGAGCCACCAGAACTGCGACTGCACCAGCTCCTTTTCCTCCTCTCCCACCAGAAGTGACAGCCTTTTATCCATTATCTGAGCCAGGTGACCACATGAACAAGGAAACCAGGGTTGGCACAGGAGAAAAGCAAGGAGCGTTCAAGAGACACAGCTCAGAGCAGCTCAAGCTGGCACGGATGGCACTCCAAGATCTGTTTGCCAACTGCACTTACCTGGCACAATTTGGAAGCCAGTTAGTTATACAGAGAATATTTTGAACACCTCCCTTAGACATTCGTTGGCCCAAAACCAAACAAGAAACCAGGCCTGGAAATACACATTCCTAGGGAAAGACCTATTTAAACAATCTGCCTACTTAGCTGACTGCCCAGATGTTTATACCCAAAGCTGATGATTCCCTTCAAGGGAGACAGAAAAGCAAGGCAGCAAGATCTTGTCTTCCAAACTACATCCTTTGTGGTTTGACACACAATCATGTGCTTATCTGCTAGTCAGTTAACCAGAGCAGCAGCAGCCTGCAGGATGTCCAATCCCTATATCCTTCAGGTATCTTCTCTCCTCTGGGGACTGAAGCTGGGGGTATGCTCATGTCACTGTGGTCAAAATCCTTAGGCTTAGAGAAAAATAGCAATTCCAAGACACAGAAAAGTCACACACACACACACAAACCCCCCAAAATCAAACCAAAAACCGAAAGAAAATACCCTCAAAAATGAAATACCAAACAAAACCTACAAAATCCCAATCCTCAGTGATGGCTTTGACCACTGCTTAGCTCCACTATCTAGGTTTCCATACTCCTGTCTTTTCCTTTCATATCCTATAGCCACAGACATGCTTCATCTTCTACCTGACCAGCATCTTAGTCTCCAGTGTGTGTTTGAAGTCAAAGCAGAAGGGACAGAAGTGAGATACAATCCACTTTCCAAGACTTCCCCCTCCTTTCTCATCCTCACAGCACTTTGCCTCTATTCCCAGAGCAGAGTCCCTACCCCCCATCCCACAAGGGAAGAGGGGAAGCACTCCCCATTCCTCTCCTGTGACACAAGTTCATTAGAAGCACGTAACCCTGTAACAGTATTTGAGGAACATTGGTTTAAACAAGCTGATTTGAGCTGCTAAAACAGCACATCCTTTCTATGCCTGCCCTCCAGCTGGCAGTGAACAGCTCATGGCAGGAGCTTCTCATAAGCACAGCACACTCACTGTGGCCGCCCTCAGCCCAGAGCAGGGGGCCCAGGTGTGTGGAACTGCTGTACAACACAAGCAAAAGGCAGGCAATGCCTATGTGGGAGCTTTCTCATCTAGAAGAATCCTGCTGCAGCTTAGAAAACCTTAATTGCACTAAGGCAGGGGAACAGGAGAACACAATCACTCGTCCTCAGGCAGCTCCTTGCCACAATGAAGAAAAGATGCAAAGCTCTTCTGGGTGACCCTTCCACACTTCTGAGGAGTAACACTTTTAACAGATACAGAATATATACAATATGCCATGCTGAAGAGGTTTAGCAACAGGACAACCAAAACTTCTCATACTACACACTCACAGCCTGCTGCCTGACATTCTTACATAAATTTGATCATCAGCCTGTATCTTGTTAATATTTGAGACTTCTTTTCATCTTGCTGTAAAAGAAACCTGTTCATTTTAGCAATACACAGGGAATACTGAAAAAAGTAATTGATTCAGATGTAAAATCCTTATAAGGGAGATTTATCAAGGTATCGATCTATCCACTCCCGCTGTATTTAGCAGTTAAAAGTTTTTATTTGGAAGGACTAGAAGTTACTTTTTATTTAAGACTCCAGTTCAACTGCCACGTGAATTGGAAATGGCTGCAATCTGTTAGGATTGGACTATCTCTAAACCTGTCTAGCACACAGCTTCTTCTAACTGGACAGGAATTAAAAAAGGCTGGAAAGTCTCCACACAATGATATCCAAACCAATGTTCCTGACAGATTCCACACTGACAGACAGTTTTCCAACTTTCCTCGAAGAGCACCTACTGCTGTGCAGCAGCAGGACTCCCTCCCTCCCAAGATGCTGTATTTATCAGTAACTACTGAAACACCAACAGCAAACTGCAGGCCAAGAAAGCAACTGTCACACCACACCTAATTTTGACTCCTGTTTTTGCAATACTCCTGTATTTCAGGAGCACCCTCACTAGCCCAGCTAACTTTGCACAAGTTTCACGAAGCTGAATATTCACATTTCACATACACATACGTCTTATGGGGGTTCAAATCACTAAGGACTCTCAGAAAGCTGATTCAGAGAAGGGGTGAGTAGAATAATAAATAAACCCCTGTTGTTCACCAAGCAGTTTTACACATTCTTGTATGCTCTATGTTCACTGTATGTTCCTGGAGACTGCACTAAATAAAACATCCTCACACTCTCACAGACAAACCTGGAAAGAAATCACCAGCACTAAAACTAGCAAAGGCAATGAGACATTATGAAACTGAGCACTAATTCCAATAATCCCTAGCGTGGTAAATAATCTGGATTTCAATGTATTTCCTCCCAGTCTGGTTCATCTTAGGAACTTCAGTTATTATTATCATATAAACCACAGAAACTGGATGTCTCAGCATTGAGGATCCAAGATCCTCAGTTCTCAAACACTGCAGAAGCCAGTGAGCACAAAAGAATTACAAGTCCATAAAACTCAAACAATAAAGTTCTATTTCCATTTTCCAGAGACCTAATATGAACAGCTGCAGCCAAAATACTTAAACTCCTGGATTACTAAAGTTAGACAGCAAACTAAACAGAGCCACATTCTGCAGTTACTGTGAAGGAATGCACAGAAGGTGCAAGACTGAAGTTGAAGTGCTGGGAGCATGTGCAGGGAGAGGTCAGGGAATCACTACTCAGGTACAGAGCAATTCCTCAGAAAATGTGCACTAAAGGAGGGAAGTGCTGGGAGCAAACATGAACATTTGGTAGCGTTCAGCAGCTTCAGATGTAAAATGAAGTATTTTCCTACGATGCAAAAGAACTTCAAGCACAAAGACAAGCTGTCCCAAAAGTGGACCCCTCTTGGCTTTTACTAGAACCAAAAAAAACAGAGCAGACACAATGGATTACTACTGCACAAGAGATGCAAAAACATCAGCAGAGAGATGCCCAAGGAAGGCTGAAGGCCTAATTGAGCCTAAACCAGAGAAGCAGCCACAAAAAAAGTCTGCATCAAAGTTCTGGGATATCAGATATGCTTTATGAGTATTCCCTGGAAAAAAAGAAAGTCCTCTCATTTAACATGACCTCTACTACCTAACAGTACTAACATTTGCTCTCCAAAGGAAACAATTCATGCCAGAAAGCCATCCTGCCACAACCCCCTTTCCCCCAAAGCACAAACCAGACAATTATGAGCAATTTTTCTCAGTTGTCTGACATTCTAAACATGAACAGCTGCTATATGCCCACTTGTCCCACTGCCCCCCAAGTTCATGTTGGAGAAGGCGAGTTACATCTAGCTGAGACTAGCTGCAGCTCTGCTATTAACCCTACCAGGCGTGAGGAAGCACAGCCCTCCTGGCAGCTCACCTCTGGAGCCACCTAACATATTAGCTCTGCCTAAGGCATGCACTGTGTGTGAAGAACAACAGCCAGAACAGAGAGCAGGGAAAAAATAAAAATTACAAGAACCAAATAGAAGACCTATCTGAGAGAAAGACCAGCAGAAAGTTGGTATTTTAAGTATTTTGTTAAAGAAATTTTAAAAAAGGCATGTCAGGGTTAATATTATTTTTTTTAAAAAGTCGATATTCAATGCAAGAAGAGAAAAGTCAAATGAAAAACCAAACTCCTGTCATCCTTTCCCCAAGCCATTCAGCCACAGCACTACCAAGGGTCAGAGAAGAGAATCCCAGTGCCCTTGCCCCAAGAAGACAAATTTGTCAGATTTTATTGCATTACTGTAGCAGAAATTAATACATGAATGTGCCAAAGGAAAGACTGGGTCTCAAAGGATCCCACAGGATTCCAGCCTCACTATCTCCAGCACTCCCAGTCCATGGACCCCATTGCCTCTGGTTCCTGGGAACACTGCTGGACACAGCCTGGCCAAAGCAGGAGGCAGGGCACTTGCTAGAGAGAAGGCCACTGCCTACAAGTTGCATGCTGTTACATGTGAAGCTGAGCAGAGCCATAGGAAAGGAAAAACAGTTTTGTATGTTTTGGCTATTATTCTGCTTTCAAGCATCATTACTCAGACATGAGTACAACTCTGTTCTCATTTTCACTCTCATTTTAAACACTAGACTTGAGAAAAATTATCTTCCAGGCAAGTCACCTGAGAATTTCATAAGTTTTCAAACCCCTCATTTATGCAAAAAACTATTTAATGAACTTGACCACAAAACAGTGCACTCGACTGAACAAAATTTTTACTCAAGTTTCTTTTACATTGGAACTCATTCGTCGGTCCGGTTTCTGGTGAAGTCTCCAAACTGCTCAAGCAGGAAGGACTCTCTTGCAGGCACAGCCCCCTCAGTCCGGGAAGAAGCCTCGCTGCTGAGTTTGCCAAATAAATAGGATCTACTATCCACTGGGCACGGAGACAGAATGAGACAGGGAAAAGGAGAATGCCGACAGACCCCAGAGGCCTGAGCCGGGCACGCTCGGCACCAGCGGGCTGTTGGTCGGACTCTGCGGGAAAACAGCGACACAAACTTTTTCCTCCCTCAGGTCCAGCTCCCGCTCGCAGGATCCACACGGGAGGAAGGGTGCGGGTACCACCTCACGCTCCTCCCAGGGACCCGGAACGCGGTTCGACCCCCGGGGCGGAGCAGGGGCCGAGAGGGGCCCAGGGCCGCAAGGGGTCATCGAGAGTCGCTCCCGCCCGCCCTGCGGTGGCTCCGCGGCACCAACCAGGGGCGAGGCGCTGGGGGAGCCCTGGGGACGGGCTCGCCCATCGCCCGCCCCGCTCGGGCCCCGCCGCGGCAGCGCAGAGGTCAGCGCGGTGGAGGCTCCGGGCGGCGCCCGCACCACAGGCCCCGCGGGTGGCGAAGCGGGCCGAGCCCGACAGCGCTGTGGCGGGAAGTCTGGCCGTCTTACCTGCGCCGAGAGCCCGGCAGACATGTCGGGGAGCGCCACTCCCTCAGGCCGCCGGCGCCACGGGGCCGCGGCCACACGGGACCGGGAGCGCCGCTCGCTGCGCTCGGCCCGCACCCGCTTCCGGCAGCGCCACAAAGCGCACGGCAGGGTCATGCCCTGCGCATGCGCAAGCCCGCTACAACGCCATTCCCCGCCCCTGCACACTACTCCTGTGCCGGAGGCACCGAATAAGTCGCAGGGACAGGCTGCGCGCATGCGTAGAGCGGCCGCCGCCGTGCCTGGCGCCGCTGTGACGCTCTCACTCTTAAAGGGGCCGCGCACACCGGCCCCGCCCGTACCCCGCGCTGCCCGCGGATCCCGGAGGCTCCGCCATCTCACCGTTCCCCGGGCGCTGCACCCAGGCCTGGGGAGGGCCTGTGCAGCGCACCGGGACTGAGCGCCCCCGGGCCCTCGGGTGGAAGGAGCTTTTGCCGGGCAGCTCCAGCTGGAGCTCCAGCGACCGGGAGCCGCCGGTGCCGTTCCGCTGGCCTGGCTCCGGCTCCTCTACCACTGCCGCCGCGGGCTCTGCTGCTGCCCGGCCCGGCCTTGCCCTGCCCTCAGGCTCCGCTGCTGCTGCACCCCGGCAGCCGCAGCTCAGCCTGGCTGTGGCTGGGAAGGGACAGTGACAGCGCCAGCTCTGTTTCCCCAGGCCGTGTCTCGCTCTTCCCGCGATCTTTATTCCCATTCCGCGTTCATTTGCTGCTCCCCTGGCCCACAATATTGACCAGTCTGCGGGTGCTGATAGCCCTTAGCTACAGCGACATCGGTTACCTGGGTTCAAACAGTGTGGGCAGCATGTGAGGGGGGGATTCTGCCCCTCTGTCCACTCAGGTGAGACCCCACCTGCAGAGCTGCCCCAGCCCTGGGGACCCAGCACCAGAAGGATGTGGAGCTGTTGGAGCAAGTGCAGAAGTCGCCATGGAGATGGTCCCAGGACTGGAGCCCCTCTGCTCTGGAGCCAGGCTGGGAGAGCTGAGGATGCTCACCTGGGGGAGAGGAGGCTCCAGAGAGACCTTGGAGCCTGTTCCAGTGCCTAAAGGGACTGCAGGAAAGCTGAGGAGGGATTTTGGGACGAGGGATGGAGGGACAGGACAAGGTGGAATGGCTTCTCAATGCCAAAGATCAGGGTTAGAATAGGTTTCTTATGTGTTTCTTTAGTATTTCTTTACTGTGAGGGTACTAAAACAATTTTTCCAGAGAAGCTTTGGCAGCCCACCTGTGGAAATAATCAAGACCAAATTGGACAGGGCTTGGAGCAATTTGTCTAGTGGAAGGTATCCCTGTTTATTGCAGGGGGCTTGGAATAGATGGCCTTTAAAAAGTCCAACTACTTCCTGATTCTGTGAAACACAGCCAGTGGAGAAGGCAGCACAGGGCACTCTGCAGGGAGCAGTGCCTTGCTCCACCGCCCAGCGATGTTTAGGGATGGTTCGAGGGCCTGGTGTCCTGAGAGGCCCTGGCACTGGACCCCTTTACCTCGCTCCCTGTGCAGCTGGGAGCGGCACCATCTGCCTGCCTGTATCACCCCTGTGTTCGCCTCTCTGCAGTGTTCTCTGCTTTCTGCAAGCAGTCCAGCTGGTGCACTGCTGATAAAGTCAGCCTGGTCTCACAGATTCGTTATGGCCTGTTCCACAGAGGCCAGGTATCCAGGTCTTTTCTTCAGCACTTGCCTGCACTATTTCTTGTTCAGTGCAGCACTGAGATGTTAACCTAAACAAACAGGAGCCTGCAAAGTGATTTTTAACCTCTCGTATTGCTATCCACTGAAGGAACACCAGATATCACAGTGCAAACTGTATTCCTGTTCCCCTTGCTGGCAGGAAGACTTCTAGTCTGCACATTCTCTGCATGGAGGCTGCTGACAGCAAGAGATGTGAGTTTCATAATAAAGATTTGCTCAGTGCTTTTAATGTAAATCTTTTCCTCCTCTTTGTTCTGCCCCCAAGGGGAGAGCAGGGCCTTGCAGTACACATCCCTTCACAATACCATGAATCTTTGGTCACTAATTAAAAAAAAAAAGAGAGGGATCTGGGTTAGTCAGGCTGCTGGGGTAGACAGAATGCAGCACAGATGGAGAGGACTGAGTGAAAGGGCATTTGTGTCTTGGTTTGAAGGACAGGTGTCTGCCAAGGAAAGCGGGAACCTCCCTTGGAATGGAGAATATGACCCCCTTCCCTCTAAATTCTTATAACTTTGAAATGACAGGGCTTTCAGGCAAAGATACCAGAAAAAGAATAGCACTTCCTTGCTAGTGTCTGTGTGTACAACATGGCAAACCAGCTCCAAGCCGGCAGCACGGACGAGCAGACGCAGAGCCGCAGGGCCGGCCTTGTCCCGGCTGCAGGCCCCTTCCCCTGCGGTGCAGTTCCGGGCACAGCCGGCAGGGGCGCTGCTGGCTCCCGGCCGGGCAGGGCGGGGCGATGATTCCCCCGGGGCTGCAGGGGGCGCTGTGGCGCGAGCTCGGCCGCCTCTCTGCGCACGGCAATGGCGGCCGGGCTGGCGGAAGGGATGCACAAGGGGCTGCCTTTGGAACCCTCAGGGACGGCCGGGCCCGCTGCACCTCCGGCTGGGGAAATGGACTGCAGCAGGAACCTTGGCAGCAGCTGGAACGGCAGAGGCGAGCAGATCTTGTTGTAATAAATGAGATGTAGCAGAAATTCCACAGCCTTAGCAGGAGCCGCAGGGCATCCTGGCAGGCCGGGGTATGGGGCTACAGTGTAGCGAAAACTCTGAGCAGCGGCAAAAAGCAGCCTTGCTCCCGAACACGGCTGGGAGACCCTCCCTCTGAGAGGGAAGGGGCTTGGGGTCCCAGGGCTTCACCTGAGGCACCAGAGCAGATGGTGAAGGTCCTTTTTTAGTGAGGTGGGGTGTTAACAAGGTCCCAGTGCAAGGGTCACTCCCACAAGCAGAGCTTCACTCGTGGTAGGAGAAGACAGCAGGAGACAGAGCCTCACAGTGCCGGCGAATTCTCCCTACAGCAACCACCGCCTGTCTCCCCTCTGATGCTGAGAGAGCCAGAGAGAGCCAGGAGCTATGCTCAGCCCCTTCCCCCTGCCCAAATCTCCCGGTATCTCTGCCCCCCCTAGAGAAATCCCTCACCTAAGAGAGTAGCCAGCCCTACCCTTCCCCTGCACCGTGGCAACTTCTTTTTTCGCTCTTAAGTACCAGTCAGTTTTGTCTCCTAGCAACATATGGGAAAAAATTCCCTGAGAGAAAGCAAACAAAAGGAGCAATCCTAACCTCCAACAATTTGTTACACAAGAGAGTCTCAGAGCCTACAGGCACATGTGCAGAGGTGAAACTGCAAAGCTGGCTCATGGACCCCCGTTCCCCAAATCACAGTCCGCTTGCTGTGCCCATTTTCCTCTCGGCCCCTTACCTGCTAGATCAGAGGAGCAAAAATTCCTTCCAATCTCGTATATTTTGCTTGACAGTGGCAGAGCAAGAGAAGTTGAAGTTCACCTGCAGCAGCCCATGGAGAGCCACCTTTCCCTGTGCGCTCACTATGTGTGATTTCAAAACCACTGAAGTCACACATAGTGATCACACAAGGAAAGGTGGCTCCCGTGGTCCCCTGCACAGTGGCCTCAGGGCTGCCAGCTGTGGCTGTGCTGCCTCCCAGCTCTCTGCAGTTCACCCTGTGTGGATTCTCCCTGAAAGGAACGAGAAGGTGGTATTACAAAAATCCTGTGTGCCTGATGGTAGATAAGGCTAGATACAGAGAGGTGAAAGAAGCAGTGGGGAGAACCATAAATAACATAGGAATTCCACTATTTGACACAGACTATTACTCACCCAAGACTGTGCTACATCTCTGGATTTAGAGAGAAAGAACAGAGACACGAGGAAAAAGAAAAACGGGGAGGGGGGGTACATTAGAAGGGAGTATTAAGCATTTTGGGAAGTCTGTACCTCTCAAGTACCTCAGCCAATGGGGAAAGAGAGAAGGGAAATGTGGCTGGGAAATTAGGATAAAAAGGAGGCTGCGTCCTCCAACAATTTTAAGAGATCTCATGGGGTATGCCCCATGGCCTCTGCCTTTTTTCGCATACTGTGAAAGGACTCCTCTGTCTCCTTTTTGGACATAAACCTCTGGTGTTTGTAGATTCATTTTTCTGATATCCTTGTGAAAAACATCAATCACTTGTTTTTAAAAGTTTAAAAGTAATAAAATGGTTATAAAGATAGTAATATTATAGTAATAAAAATTTGGACAAGTAGGATTAGGACAATACAAGACAATAAAAACAAAGAGTTATGCACAATCTGGGTACCTCTTTCTGGGCAGCACAAGCCCAAAAAAGGACCCCTGTTAACAGAGGATTAACCCTTAAAAGCAACAGCCTGTTGTATTTTCATACACTTCATACATGATGCATAAATTCCATTCAAACACAGGATTCTGTCTGGGCAGTGTCAGCTTCTTCCTCTGAATCCTAACGGAATCTTCATGGCTGAGCAAGGCGAGAAGAAGTTAATTTCTTCTGATAAGGGAGCAATAAAGTTTTTTTCTCTGAAAGATTCAGGTGTCCTGTGGCTGCTATCTCAGCATGAGTACCTCATTCCTCTCTTTAAAAAAAGTATCTTACATAGCATAGTTTCTATTTTAACATTATGTTATACCCTAAAACTCTATTTAACACCCTACTTAAGAAAATTAATACAGCATAACTTTATAACATAACACATATAATATTCATTTTGATATTTGCAAAAAGCCAATAATAAAATACACATTGTTCATATCCATGCATTATCACGAGGCTCACGTACCTTACAATTGTCATGTAACCTTTATTTATGTATAAAAAAGTTAAAATTACTGTCTCTTTTTTCCCTGTTTACTCTCTTCTAACCAAGCTGCAGCAGGACTTCTCGTGGAGCAAAATGGAAGATCCCCATTCCCAGCAACCACATGGATCCTGATGTGAGAAACTACTCTTACTTTTAAAATTTCGAAGGTTTATTAAACCTTAACAAAAGTACAGAAGACATCATGTTATAAATGAATAATGTGATGGTTGGTTCTCACAATTAAGAGATTGATATTATGTGTAGTTAAGAAA